TTTACCCCCCCCCCCCATATTAGAAGACCCCCTGAAGAAAAAGTTTGTCCGACATAATAGAAGACCCCTCTTTACTTAATTAAATTTTTGCTAATTACGAACTTTAATTAGCATTTTTTCATAAAAATAAGCCTGGTTCTTAGCATTTGAAGCTGTAAATATCAAGAAAATTTGTTCACAATTATAATGACACCCTTAAAACCCTGAAAATCACCTTAGTTTTCTGGAAAACCTTTTAAATTAAATATTAGGAAAAAATGCGGTTCTTAATACAAGCCCCCCTGGGAAATGTTTACTCTGGAACATAAAAGAAGACCAGGGGTCTTTTATTGTGGGGGGGGGGGGGGGGGTTAAAAAAAACACAAGAANNNAAGAAGAGCAAGAGATGATAAATGTAATTCGGCATTATCACGCTAAAATAGAAAACATAGGTAATGCATCGTCTTAACAATTTCTCTTATAAAGAAATATCTTATATTAACATTCAATAGACCGAAATTCACCAGTTATTCAACAGGATATACAATAATTGAGAAATACGATGGAAGTAACACACTTATCGATATCAGATCAGCCAAAGACAAAAGTCTCAACTGAAGCTTTTCACAACACAACAAACAAACACAATGAAATAACAACAGACTACAAATATGGTAACCTACTAGGAACAAAAGAAAATATCACATATCACTATTTAAAAATATATCTATCAACCAAAAATACATGAATACAAACTAAAATTCCCTAATTTCAGATTCAAATATTAAATTGATCAACAATCATGGAAATACATCAACTACAAACTCAAAACAAACCAAAGAATAGTAAGCAAACAGCGCACAAACCATTAACAGACATAAAAAGTATATTACCACACAAGAAAAAAAATACCGGTTATAAATTCTTCATACATGAAAAAGAACATAGAAAAATTAAAATAAGCTAAAGAAAATAGCAAAGCAAATAAATAAAAAAATCTGATGAGACCCTTAAGCAAGGCCGAAATTGCGATCTTGGTAGCTTCTACTCACCCTCGCCCTCACTGCCACCTTCACCCTTTTATTTATTGCGTATAATAAAAAATGAAGAAACATTGGGTCTTATCTTCTGATATTTGATCTTATTGAAGAGTAGAGAAAAAAAAATTTAGACGACATAATCGTAAGGAAGTAAGGACTGAAAAGAACTTTTATTACATACTTCGCATAAAAGATCATTAAACGGTGAAATTGGCTCATTCTTGATTCAACTCTGTTCTATTACTTTCATCAATAAAGACGAACATGTTTCATCTCTTACAACTGCTAGCGCTCGTTACGATCGCCAGTTTACGTAAGTTATAAATATTTTTGTTCAAATCAAGATATCCAATGAAGTCGCCGCAATTTGTATTTCAACATTGCTTATTCGTTTTTCTGCTGTTTTAGTTGTACAGTATAGTGATGCTAAAGTGTCATGCTATATATGTAACGCTTGCAACGACGATAATTATGCTTCTCAGCAGAGTAAAAGAGACGGTTTCGATTTTTGCAAAGTACGTTACTATTTCTTGAAATCAATTTTCTACATGAGTTTTGAAGATTATTAATGAAACCCTTTTTACATTTCCAGACTTTTGGAACTACTTATACACCTTCTAATGGAGTTTTCACATCTTTTTCTCAGAGCGGTAGTGAATATCCAATTGATGACAACTGTGGAACAAATACAAGTGGAGGTTATCAACTGTTAACAAGATGGCGTTGCTGTAACACAGATTTGTGCAATACAATTAGCTTTGGTTTTCAGGACAAGAATTCATTAACTGCCGCAGACAATGCTTATTTGAATAGCAGCAATATCAAATATAGTGCTGCTAGTATACAACATTTATTCCTAGCCGTATGTTTTGTTATTTTAATTAGCTTTTACGAATTTTAAATAAATTCATCATTTATTTCGGAACGAGCATAATGACGTCACGTACGCAGTTATAAAATCGCAAAAAAGAGAAGAAAACGGCCCGATGAAAACATTGGGGTGGGTGTGTGGGTATGTTTACATATAGAGAATTTGAAACCAAGCAGTCATACGACGTGTTTCGACTGTTGCTTAGACAGTCATCATCAGGTATGTTCGGTATTCTAACACTACATAGTAAAATTAATCAGACCAATATGAATTCAATTTATATAAATATGGAGTAGAATAAGAACGGTTTCTCTGAAGCGTGCGATATGAATATTGTTTGCACCTGTATTCGTACATGAGAGTGGTTAATATTATTGCACACTCTGCGAGAGTCTCTTTAATGTTCAATGCTATATGTGGCTCGGCAAAAGAACCGTATGAAGAAAAGACCGTGTTGATATGAAAGAGCTCTAAAAAGAATGAACTGAGGTACCTATTTCGTTTGTATTCTGAGACAGAGCTCAGACGCAAGTAATTTTACATGTACTTTGTAAAAAGTATTTGGGTGTGGGTATGTATTATTACGGCATATGATAGATTGAGAGTATCACACGACGTTTCGTTCTTGCTTGATGGTGGACTGAAATCAATTCAAAAACAAATCAATCCGTTAAAAGCACATAAACGGTCTTAATTTTTCAGTTTTTCGTCGAAAACTTGTCGTGGGATACACGAGGAAAAGTATGCTTAGAACAAAAAATGATTACAAAATACAAAGATTTACACTGATTAAACCGCTCGCTCATTAGAATAAGAAGTCTATCTCAATATTATTTTGTGTCCGTTGGATATTTAAAAATGCTGTTAAAAAATCATCTACGGAAAAGTTTTTTTTTTAAATATAACATACATGACCTATTTTTGTGATAAATTTTGCACAGCTCATTCACACGAGTTCAGCTTTTTGAAAAATCTAGGAGAAGGAGCTCTTTATGTAGTCTAATTGTTGAGAAAAGCTAAAATACTGTGGCTAAAATATCATCATGACAATTTCAGTAAAAATTGCCCATGACCAATTGAAATCATTGAGTTGTGCTGAATTTAAGATATTTTCCCCTAGACGGCCTAAAATCATGATTTTGATGAGTTAGAGCCGTAAGTATACTCAAAATAAAATTCAGTTGGAATGGGCAAGTCGTTCTTGAGATACTGACTTTCTCCGATGATTGCTATTGCAGGACGTGAAAAGCAACTCAGTAAAATCTGATTATCTCCATTGAGTTGGAAATATATTTTACAGAATTGACACAGTATAGCTCAAAGGGAATGAATACAATTCATTGAAATTTTTTTACTTATATTTATGAATCAGCCAGTATACACGATTTTGACAACGAATAGGCAAATAAGCAGATAAAACTAAAAATAGATCAGAAAAGAATGTCTATGTTGAACTTAAGAAAAATATAGTAATTAGTTTCGCACGAATAAACGTTTTTGAGATTCAAAATTCAGGTTGTGTTGTTGCGGGTTGTCTGGATCGTTTCATGCCCGTATTTGAGACAGTCATTTGCCCTTCATTCCATCGTTGGTTATGTTGAATAGACAATATTCGAAGTAAAGCTGTATTCAATGTGGTTCGAAACAGACGAGAACTCAAAGTAGAAAGATAAAATGACCTGATATTGATAATATAATGGGTCATTCCGACGACCACGCTCAAATCCATTGAAACTTTCAGGGCTTGTAGAGAATTTTTCGCTGATCATTTTGATCATCACATTTTTCAAAATAAATTCTGTTTTCGAAAAGATACAAGTAAAATACGAAAAGTGCACTTTTATTTTTTTCAAAAAAACGCGCATTTTTGTCGAAATAGCGACGAAAGTACCATTTTTTTGCTCGAATTTTAAAAGCAACCACATATTTAGATTCCTCATGAAAACTGCATCCGAATCCGAAGAAATTAAAAAAGATTAAAGGAGTTTTATATGGTCAGTAGGTCGCTCTTTAATACACTACAGAGGGATAGTGTTTGAAAAATTCACTGTGAGAGTCAGAATTAACGGAAATATTGGCACCAGCAGTTCGATAGAGCAAAACGTGTTCTACAACATGTACGAGTTAGTTTTCTTCGCGATTCTGATTTTGGAAGGAACGAGAATCAACACGGCTTTCGACGATAAATTTTTATTCAAATCTAATTATTTTACCTAAATAAGTATATCCAAATGCTTTAAAATGTTTCAAAACTTGTAGAGCTTTTTACGCTGAGTATTTTGGTATTAAAATATTGAATATTCAACTCTATTTTCATGAACATATAGGTTAAATAATAGAAGCATATATTTTGTTCTTATGATTATTTTGCATAAAAAATGCATTTTTTCAGAAAAATGAAACTGATAACACCTTAGTATTGGCTTAAATCCTAAGTCTGATAATGTATTCAGATTGAGCATGGAAAAATGCAATAGAATGTACGAAATGTGTGAACTCTGAAGTACCCATCAAATATTGTTTTGATCCTAAGTGATATATACGCAATGGAGGGTGAATGAAAAAGACTATAGAATTAATTTAAAAAAGGAAATAATCGAAAGTAAGGTCTTGATCGATTCAATTGAGTGGAGTTAGCTCTAGAACATTTATTAATTAGCGTTCTCCGTAATTCAAGTTCTAGAGAGAACATTTGATGAAAATTTTCATATTTAAGTGTTTATGATCTAGAAATCGATGTATGTTTAACTTATTTCGTTGAAGTATTTGTCAAAAATTAGTATCTCTCGCCATGGTAGCAGTTTGAAAAGAGAAATATTTCGATTGGGTGAGAGATCAATCGATAATATGTATGTATTAATACAGAAGGAGGCGCTTCGATATTAGTAAAATCAAGGATTCATAAAGAAAACGTATGATTTGGGTGTGGGTATGGCTATGAGTTCAAATAATATCAATAGTGACACCCACACCCACACCCATACCCGAAAACGCTGTCAATCTTAAATCCGTTTTTCTTGAAACATAAAAAGACAAAGAAAATGTGCTATTGTGACGTATCTTCTCACCTGTTCTAGTTGAACCGCTAGTATATTGTAGAGAAAACAATTCTGAAGGTCTTTGCAAGCGGAAGTTTTATTGAATTTTGATTTTGATCTATGGTAAACGAACAAAATACTGAAGCAGGGTGAATTTCCAGCTAAAATAGCTGTACCGTTCGCTTTATGTGCACTACACATAAAGCGAACGGAAACTATTTTTTTATAAAATTAATAAAAAATTGAAATTAATTCCAATTAAGCTGAACCGCTAGACTATGATAGAGCTGAATGAGACGAATCGAATGATATCATTTTCAAGAAAATTCATTGAAGTTTTTGGACCGGAGCGAGGAAATAGTTTACGTTTTTATATTTTGCTTGTTTTTCACTGGACCGTTCGCTTTAAGGACATTTTCTTGCTGGCCGTTCGCTTTGTGAACATGTACGTAAAGCGAACGTTTTGACTTTTCTACTTTATACCGCCGATTCCTCAACTATTTTTTTAGTTACGAACTATATCTTTATATGAGCGGATGCAGAATTTTGTGCTCTTTCCCATGGAATAATAATAATAATTTTAAGAGGCGAAATGGGTCTGATATAAAGTTAGTATGAACAGCCCTATATCGTCCGTTCGCTTTAGGGACATTGACTCTACCTTATACAGAATGTTTTAATCGATTATTATCGAAAATGATACGAATATCAGTAAACTCTTTTTTGTTTGTAATTTATTGATAGTGTATGAGTTCAATTGTTTCCCTCGTTATTCTGAGCAGTCATCCTATTACGCAATGTTGAACATTTCGGAACCAGTTTCGCCCCCGGAATCAGTTCCGTCGATTCCGGAATTAGGTCAAATATGAACACTGTCCGATTCTGGAATTGGTTTGTCCAATTCCAGAATTAGGTGAAAGCGGAGTCACTGGGAATTCCTAGTAATTCCGAAATTACAACTTGTACCACTATTCTATCTTGTCTTACCCATTTCGTAATGATCCGATTCCGGTCCGGAATTCCTGAATTAGGTCAATACGGAATCGCTGGGAATTAGAAGGAATTCCGTTCGATTCCTGTTCGACCTAATTCCCGGGAATTCCGTACCGGAATTGCATGGTGTGGGTGTAAATGTGGGTGTCAGTGTGGGTGCACTGAATTCCGGAATTGAATCGGAAGCGATAAACGGAATTCCGGGAATTAGATGGAATTGGTTCCGTGAGTGGAACTGGTTCCGGAATAGGATGTATTCTCTTTATTTTACATACAATGTACTAAGGTTTGGAATGAGTGAAGATTTCGCTCTAAGAATGTTTACTAAGAACTCACAACAACAACAACTAACATTTGAACACATTGAGCTATGTTTTTTGTCGACTCTTTTCAATAACGATTTCATTTCGTTAAAATTGATAAGCTTTTTTATATTCTTATGTGAAATCAAAACATACAGTTTTAAATTTAGAAGTTCTATGGAAGCTTTCTAAACAGGTAAGTATTTTCACAATTCTACGATGGTTATAGTCGACTTGATAACAGAACTTCTTTCTTCTGATAATGGTTGTGAAAACTGCTGCTTACTAGATCACTATGAAAATTAGCAACTTAATCTACGAAAAAGAGCTCGGGGTTTATAGACGAAACATTTTTATTCTACAAGCTCCGAGACCACTATCCTAGAATACAAAAGTATTAACCAACATTCAAGCTTAGACTTCGAAATTCCTTTTAAACTTATCAATTGGAAACTTATTCACTCGTACTCCTTGATCGCAGAAACCAAGACAACTATTAAACGTGAATAAAATGATCAATTTTTAGTTCCCAAATATGATTATTTTAACTTCAACAGAACAAGAAAAACGTCGTCGCTCCTAAAAGTGCGACCAGACATACAGATTGGTCGATTCTGTCACGTGCATATTTCAAAAACTTCTGCAACAACAGCTCTCTCGTTAAAGGATTTGTTTATTTTTTTCAATTATATGCATCTTATCGTAATTTAATTTATACAATAAAAGGAATATTAGATGAAAACGAAGTACTTTTCGCTAGCATGACAAGTCAACATATCTCTGAAAAAAATGTTTCAATCAGATAACTGATCCATGGGCCGACTTTTGTTGATCAGACTCGCTTCATTGACATTTCTGATTCGTATAAAACAATCCTTGAAGAATATAATTGTCTCAATGGAGAAATCATTACTTTTGCTACATATTTACTTTTTGGAAATAATTAGTTTCAAACAAGGAATAAGTTTATATTTATTAAGACTTGTCGTCATTGCTGCTGCAGTATAAAAATTATTTCAATGATTAAATCAACGTAAGATGGTTAGTGCAACAAATTTACAATAACGGGTGGATCGGAAGTTTTGGCACAAAATGTTTGCTCATTTCTGACTCACTTGAAAATATTTCAGCCGAGTCGAAAACTATGGATTAGAACCAGCATTTTGCGTTTTTTTCTGAATATGAGTTTGGAAACTTTTTGTCAGCTTTTATTCGAGAGTAGTGAGAGAATCTTTGAAAGGTCTGAAAAATTGATTTGGACGACGCATAAATAGCTTGTTTCTAACCCATATATGTCCCTTTGCGAAGACGCTAAAAGTTACCGGTTAAGGTATTTTGTTAGAGCGGAAACTTATTTACAAAAATGGATATTGAATCAAGTTGTAGCTTTAACACAAGTGAAGTTATATGTATTTTGCCTGAAGCTCCTTTTTGTGAAAAGCCCCTTTTCATCAAAAACTGGATTTCTCATAAATCAGGGTATAGGAAAAACAAAAATTGACAATTCTTGCCTAAACACCAAAAAAACTCAAATAGTACCTTTTGTAGGGCAGACTTTGTTCTGCCAGCTGATAGAATAATAAAGGTTCCAATTTTTAGTTTCGAATCGCAATAGTTAAAACATAAAAAAGTGTGAAAAAGTTTCCCGTCCAAACAAACTTTTCAGGCCTTTCAAAGATTCTCTCACTACTCTCGAATAAAAGCTGACAAAAAGTTTCCAAGCTCATATTCAGAAAGAACGCAAAATGCTGGTTCTAATCCATAGTTTTCGACTCGGCTGAAATATTTTCAAGTGAGTCAGAAATAAGCAAACATTTTGTGCCAAAACTTTCGATCCACCCGTTAAAGCAAAAAGTTCAAAAACGATTTTGCTTCTTTCTAGACAAACATAATTTTCTCTCTAACTCCCATTGAATTGTGATGGGAACCACCCATACTCGTACCCACACATTTGATGTATATCTATGCATACTACAGTATTTTTATCACGATAAAAGCAGCAAGACTCTCAAAAGCTATGCAGAAAACAAGCCAATTTTATTGTGAAATCATCATGGAGACGAGAAATAGTTATAGAAATTTAATTTCAGTTACATTGTCTATCAACCTATGATAACGAGGAAGCTATTCGCAGGTCCACCCATGCTCTGCAGCCAAAAAGTGATGTTATATGTGGAACCGACCACTGTTGTGAATGTTTGGCTGAGGTAATCTGAATATCCTACTGAACCATCATAGAAACTATAGCTGCCTGAATGGGTACATGTCGCCGATATGCTACCACTGGCAGAAGCTCCGTTCGGGTTACAGTAAGCATAATATTGAGTCAATGGACTCTGTTCAAAACCACCATCTTGCCACAGTTGTGAACTGTTGTTAGTGACTGAAATGTCATCTAGACACCAATAACTAGGATCCTGACGTAGAGCTAGCATCATTGTTGTACTTGTTGATGTAGCTACATATAAGTATTGAAAGTATGTATAAGGAAATATGGCTACATCTGAAAGGTACACTAGGGTCGTGATAGTACCGCTCATAATTGCAGTGCATGTATTGTTCAAAACGGCTAAATCAAAATAAAAGAGCATTAACATTTAAGAGTGCAAAAAACATTAAAATTGTTAATAGAAAAGTAATTTGTTCGAATTAGTATAACTATTGGGCTATGACCAAAAGTATGCGTCCGATATATATGATTAGTTAAAGTCACTCGTGTCTAGTAATGTGTATGTACCATGTTGCTCACAAAATAACTGAGTGTAGAGGTCATTAGAACTGTAGACTTTTGATTTCTGACACAAATGACTTGATCTGTCTTTACCAGAATAAGAAACAGTGGCATCCGATGAACTTCAAATTGTGCGCTCAATTCTAATGTTTTCAAAATGATATGAAACTTTCTTGTGTGTTGTACAAAATCCTACGTAGTACATCTTGTCACGATAGAAGGGAATCAATAAAACATGTCTCAGTTTTACTAAATTATTTGATAGCTTTAACTTACAAGATGGTACCATGACTGTCGTTGTGGTGCTCCCCGTTGTCGTAGTAAGAGTCGTCGCAATACCTATGAATATTATGAGAACAAATCCCTCAATGATACAAAATGTTGCGAGGAGGAATCATACTCGAAGCGGATGGCACTGTTGTAGTGGAAGAGTCAACTGATGACGATGATCCTATTTACATGAAAATGAATAAAATGAATTTTACAATTTTTGCACAATAAATTTAGCATTGTTGATATTAATGATATTTATATCTTACCTCCACTATGCGAAGTTAAAAATACAGCTGTCAGGCAACCAGCGATCATTAGTAATAATAATAAGACCAAAAGAGAACAACAAATTTGGCAGCAATAACCATGTCCACATCTGAAAATAGGGAAACTGCAAGTCAACTAAGTAACTGCGTGATGAAACTATTGATACTTTCCTTCGTTGATATTTTTTCCGTAATGGTTCTTTATCAACATTTTTAATGTTGCTGTTAGCCACTCGCTGGTCTCTATTAATATTTGGAAGCCAATTTGTTCTATTGATGAAATCAATGTGCGATTATTTCAGTTTCATGCGAACTGATTTCTAATAGATTATGGGTAGAAAACGCTACAAAAAGCCCTTGGCACAAAGCGTTTTCACTTTTACAATTTTGCGTTAGATACATGCATGCCATTGTGAAATAATTTTCTCAAGAAGATATTCATCATTCAACAGAAATAAGGTTATGCTGCAGTTTGATTACTGTCAGCGTTACATCTGCTCGTGCTTATAGAAGCTCTCCATCGTTAAATAGTATAGTCCATCTCATGGTTTTCTGCATTTCCTATCGTTTGTTGATCAACACTCTGATCAATGAAATAACAATATGTTTCGACTCCTTATATTAAGAGAAGCGCTAAAAAAAATAAAATCTTCAGGGTGTGAGTGTTGCTCGTCTTCGCATACTCACACCCACATCACCCTGACTATGTCGAATAGCGTCTCCTAAACATGCTTACTTTGAAGAATAGGTCCCTTGTTGTGTGAATGGTAAGTGATACCATTTAAGCGGCTGAATCCTAATAACATTTGGAATTGTTTTTATATGCGTCACTGTTGGATAAATCTGAGGCATACGAGCAGACTCAAGTATAACTAGTCAAGTGAATACTTTCTTACTATTCTGAATCCATGGTTCGGAAGATATCTACCGTTGACTGAATAGTTGGCCACTGCCATTTTATAAGTCATGTGAATATTGTGAAAGTAAGTTTGTGAGAATTCGAACTGCTACTATATTAATAATTGAGTGCTATTTTTTCTTGAGAATGATACTTTGTTATTGTTTTTTTCTCTGCCTTTGGCAAAACGAAAAGTTGTTTTTTTCAACAATAATTCATCTATCACAAAATTTTTAATTCGGCAATTGTAAATATTTTTTCTTCGACTAGAGACAAAGCGCAACTGCAATAGTACTGTTTGCTCGAAGACGGGAGTCATTGCTTTTGAATTATTGCTTCTCTATGCGAAGAACAACAACATGTTTTTGCTAAGTCAAGTATTATGAGAAGGTGTACATTTATATGCGTTAGAAAGAAAAAAATCTCTCGTCATTGATAATATAATAATACTTGTCTACTTCACACGATTAAACTAAAGAGTGTGACACATAGGTAACGATGTCATTTTTGAAGATGATTAGGTATTGACAATTCAGTTTTGAAAGTATTATTTAGACTATCATCCATAATGAATCAAAGAAAATCATGAGTTGTATAATCCGCATATACAAATAACTGTCTAGCATGATTTCGGAAATAAATGAAAAATTATAAATTTATTCGTAAATAAAGCCATAAACATGTTTAAATAACAAAAAATCAAAAGATTGTATTTATTTAAATTATAGAGGATAAGTGGCGGTAAGACTATTTTTCATCCCCCCCAATATTTTTCGTTAAAAACCACTTATTCATAGCAAGTCGACCACGAGGGACATTTTGTGTGGCACGATTTTGAAAAATTGAGGGTGTGAGGGTGTGACTATGCGAAGACGAGCAGCACCCACACCCTCAAGATAGAGGTGCATTTAAACGAAACTTTTTACTAACGAAGCTAATAGTCTCAATATATATTACCATACTAACCGTTGCTACACTTACGTTTTGTTGAATCATTTCGATTCATAAAAAAAATAATTTAATTACATGTAATCGAAATTAGAAGTCATTGATAAAAACCTCTTGCTCACTATGTAGATGTGTTATCACAACTATAAAAAAAGAAATAGGTTATGAATAATCTTTTCCAACAGAAGTCGATATAACGCTACGAAGTAGAATAAATATTATTAGTAGATCCTATAATTATGAATATGTCTATATTAACCTCAGAAATTATCAGAAGCAATGAAGAAAACGTCAATTCATTCCAGTGAATTTATTTCTTCTTATTATATTACAAATTAACAAACACGAATGCCAAAATTCACGTTGAAAAGGTTTCCATCACTTGACTAAAGTTATCAGATAGTTAATTAAACTTTACTTTCCTATTCTATTATACCTGTTATATGTATGTATTTCTTACGAGCAAACTTATTGTAAGAACAAAAAGAACAAAAAGAAAACCAAGCAAAATATACACTTCTGAGATAAGAAGATTGACTAATATTAGGATATAAAATGGCATTACACGCATAGGAAAAAAAACACAAGTTTAGAACGAGATCAATCACACAATTATTGATCACGATAAAAATAAATTAAAAACAATAAAGGTTTATTATATACAATCATAGTCCGGTAAATAGTTCGATGGTCGCTGTAATGATGACGAACGCATTGCACGTTCCGGTTTACTTTCCATACGATCGTCTCTTTCCATAGTTGTTGTTCGACTCCATTTAACAGATGGTATCGGTGGTCGAACATAATTATGATTACTTGAAGTCGTACGATAATCAACAATGTTATACTAAAAACAAGAAAGCAAGAAAAATATATTTATGAACTTTTCCGAGTACTTTTTCTTACTTTTGATTGACAAACAAAAACGTTAGTACACAAACGAGCTACTGCATTCATTAAATCTCGTGTTTCACATATAACAGTATCGACCTAGATGGAAAAAAAAACAAATTGTGAAAAATTTCGGCTATTTTTAAATTTGCATACTTTTGAAAATGTTGAATTTTTTCCTGATACAGGGGTTTTTAATTTTAATTTTAATTGATGACACATCAATGGTATTCTTTCTAATTGTGTTAAAATATCTTGTCGAGCATTTTTATTTGGTATCTAAAAGAGAAAAATTCGAAATGATCTATTTCCATTTGATCATAATAAACTTACTTGATTGGCAAATTCATGAACAATAGCAGATAAACGAGCACCTTCTTCAACAAAATAATAAGCTTGGGTAAATAAATCTTGTGTCGTGCGTAATGTTCCTTCGCCTCGCGTAAACAAATACATTGAAAATGCCATTGATGACATATTTTTTGCACGCTATTTTTAATAAAACCATATAAAATAGATGTTCTATAGATAAAACCAAAAATGTCAAACTTTAGCTATTTCACTTTGTGGTTGATCCCATTTTTCCGCCTCGGCATCCATTTCGGAAGTAACTAATTTCATTTCAAGACCAGCTTTGGCAATTTTAGCTTGCTCATCAGAGTCAAGTTTTGTTGGTTTAAAACCAGCTAAAGATTCATTTTTTTCAGAACAATTTTTTTTAGAAAAAACAATCGCACTACCTTTAGATGTTGTTCCATGTTTACCAGGTCTTGGCAATGATAAATAAACGTTTTTTTCACCACGACCTTCTATTACATCTTCTATTTCTTTCACAAGAATTGAAAAATCATTGATTTGCTGTTCCCAAAAACGACAGAGAACATCAAGATTTTCTTTTGGTACTCGGCTAGTTGAATGTGCAGCAACGGACTGTGCTGATGCAATGATCTAAAATTACATATAAATAATTTCATTTACTACTAACATGATTCAGTAAGAAAAACGAAGATGGTTGTTTGCCAACAACAATCTATTAATATAAATCTTACCATATTTGATAAATTTTGAAATACTAAATCATGATATTCGCTTGATACTTGTAATTGATCGCATGCACTAATATGTTTCAATAGTTTACTTAACTAAAAATACAAAAATTCCTATAGAAAATTTTCTATTTCTTTTTTTCTCGATCATCATACCTCAATCGCAATATCGGCTTGCTCTCGAAAATTATCAATAGCTTCCTGTAATAGATCTAATCGACCCGTCAATGAATATGTTTTTATTTCATTAAGTAGAACATTTTCATCATGTGTTCGAAAGAATTCCGATGCACGATATATAGTCATTTGTTCTAACTGAAATAAAACGAAATTGAAATAGCCTAAATTTCGAGGAAAGAAAATACACTTACGTGTTTTCGAAAATCACGTGCTAATTGTTGAATTGTTTGAATCGATAATGGAAGAACATCATTTTTCAATGAAAATCCAGTATCATTCGTATTTGTTGTAATTTTAATAATTTCTCCGAGTTGTTCTTGTAGATTTTTATGAAATTCAAGTAGTTTTTCTCGTTGTTCAATACTTATATAAATTGAATCAGTAAAATCTTGACTATTATCAATAGTTTTACTACATAATTGTTGGAGTTGTTCTTTAGTTGATGATGTTACTGAGACATTTAACATTTCAACAGCATACTAAAATTTTAAAATAAAGAAAATTCTTCGTTTGAAATTAATCTTTACTTCAAATTGTCTTAATGATTTAACGAAATTAATTTCATCTTTAGTAAGCATAAGTGTCTGTGTTGGATTGTTGGTTTGTGTTGTTGAGCCTGAATCATAAACTATTAAACCAGCCATCTCGAGTGCACGACGAATTTGATCATAGACAAGATCTCGACATTGACGAGAATGATGACATTCGATATGGCGAAGATAAGCCTAAAAATTCCATAATAAAAATACATAAAGAATTATTATTATTATTATTATTATTATTATTACTTTAGATGAAGTCAATATAAGCATCGTAGATTTTTCTAGAATAGTTCGAGAAGCTGAAAGTTGGGATCGGCGTCGTTCATCTTTTAAGTCCTTAAAAAAAAAAGAAAATAATTTTTTTGTTTAAAATTCAATTTCTTTTTTGATTTATTCTCTACTTACATTTTGTCGATCGCCTGTTAGATGTGCTAATTCAACCATTTGACTTCCATAGATTGCAAATAGTTTGATAAACTCAGAAAAAGATGTTACTGTTTCAAGGCGATTTAATGTCGACATGACCTAAAATATATGATGATTTCCTTGGCTAGAATCTTTTTCGTAAATATCAAACCTTTTTCTTAATAGAAATAATCTGCTTTACAACAACCATGTCAGCCAATAGTAGAACACGTGTTACTGCACTTAGTAAACTACGTGCAGCATGTATCATACTTTGTCTGTCAGTTACACAAATTGGTTTTCCGAATGTATCGTATTCAACGCAAGTTATACGTTTTATAGATTCGCCTATAATCAGAATTCTTCATGGAAAATCATTTCAAACTTTTATACATACCAGCTGATCGAGCTTCACGGCATGCATCAATTAAATCTGACTTTATTTCAGGATTTTCATTAGCAATCGACTCTCCTACAAAAAGATGATGATATTTTTTGAAGAATCGGTTACTATTATTCAAAAAACAAAAAGAAACCATAAAATATTTACAATAGAACATTGGACATATCTTTGGTTGAAACATCAGTTACTATACAGGAAATTATCAAGAGAAAATCTAATATTACGCTATTAAACTCAAATCAATTCCGGGCATTAATCGACAATTATTTCCTTCTGTTCAAACTTTATGATCATTTCAACCAAGGGTAAGTGTTATTTTATTACTCATATTTTTTCCATTATTGACTCAGATAGATAGGAAAAAGAAAATCATCTCTCCCGATTCATTAATGTAATTATAATCGATGATGTGTTACACATGTCGAGATACAGTTGTATATCTAAACACTACAATCCGATCGCGTCATCTAAGAAAAATATTACATTAACTGGAATAATATCGTTGGTTTCGTGCGTAAAGTTTCAAAAGCAATACCTACCGACAGAAACAAAACGTTCAACCGCCAAATGTACAGCTTCTCCTACTCTATTAATAGCTTGAAGTGTTTTTTCATTGGCTGTTAATGAAGTCCGAGGTCTTTCTTTAAAATTAACTAATGTTGAAATTTGTGTTACAAGTGGTACAAGTGTTGCTTCAATTGATTTTGTCTTTATTTCGAGTGATTTTTGTGAAGAACTTCTATTCACTGATGCCATAAGTTCTCTTTTATTTATTTAGTTTTTGTTACATCATTTTTCTTATTATCTAGAATAAAGAAAACACAAAGGTTTATTTTTTTTGTTAACATCCAAAAGAAAAAAAAAGAAAACATCAATAATTAAAATAGAAAAAAGATTTATTTCAAGGATTCTTTTTGTAACCGTTCAAGATCATTATCTTCAGCACTATATAATTCACTAACAATTCGGTAGACATATGAAGGTGCATTTCCCATACCACTACCAATAATCAATGTGACTAATTCCGGCGGAACATAATCATGCATAGGTACGACAATATCCAATGATGATTGGTATATCGATTCATACGAAAGAATGGTTTCTGGCGATGGAAAGGTATTACACATCACCGGATCGAACGATGGAAGATACGTTGGAGAAAATTTATATGTTGGCGCACAAACAAGTAGTGGAACATTATAATGTTTAGCAGCTAATGCTAAATTATATGTACCGGACTTTGCTGTTAAACCACCATTAGCAAGAAGACTACGTGTGCCTATAAGAATTTTATTCACTCGTGCCATTATAGCAAATACAGCTGAATCTGTAACAACAGTAACCGGAATATTTAATGCAGATAAATTCACTGCCATTTTATGTCCAGTAAAAAACGGTGCATGTTCCAAGATAAATACATGAAATTTACGATTTTTACTAGCAGCATATTTAAAGAATTGTTCAACTGTATATGAATAGCCCAATGTTAATATAAGTTCATTGGCATGAATATGGGCTAAGGCTTGTTGTGAAAGATTTTTAACGCTTAATTCAATATCCGATGAATACCAATTTAAATCATCCATTAATTCAGGTTTAAGTCGTTGTACTGATACTTCACCTTCGGCATTACTGATCGGAGTTGAATCGGTTAGATTCCTTTGAATTTGTTGTGTTTTTGGTTGAAGATTTTCTTCAATGTTTTCATTATCATCGTCGTTGAAAGTCGATGTCGCTGCGCGATCATTGAGAACAGCTTGAAGCGTTAGAGATATATCACTACCTTCATTTTTACCATGAATTATTCGAGCTGATACATCACGAATTAATTTTAGAATACGTCTAAATGAAAGTCGTACAAGTGAAAAAAAACACTAACATCGTAGATTAAAATATACAAGACAGAAAGATAAATGTTTATTTGACCATGAAAGGAAAAGATAAATTTTGCAGCTGCCAACACATCGCTTTTCTAATTTTAGTTTCTCTTCCGAAACTTAATAGTTTCCTTTCGTATTGCTTCTGAGAGTCATATAAACATCTGGTTCTGTCTATGCATTCAAGCACAAGAATAAATATGATTCTGTTAAATGCAAATTCTAGCCAAACTATGTCAATGAAAACTACCTTGAGAGAAAAAAAAACATAGTTACATCCGGAATTTGCTCTTTGTCTTGTCACAAACAAAATTGCGTGGAAGAAGTCTGACTGATTCCTAGGCAATATTTCTGATTTTAGAGCAAATAAAGTGATAAGATCTTCTAAAGAATTCTTGTAATAGATTGTATCTCTTTCAAGCTAAGAACTCATTAATACTATTGAACTCTATAGTATTTAAAGTTTCGAATTAAACTAGTATACCTTGTAATATTAAATGTAATACTATCCACTGGTTGTCCTTGATTGAGTCGATGAGCTTGAGAACGTATGAGAGTAATAAGTTCACTTGCATTCGACCATTTTGATTCTCCAATAAGTTTTTTAAACATAAATATCGTAGCTAAAGCTAAATCAGCCGAACGTGTATAAGTATTTCGTTTAATATCATTACAAAATCGATCGATTTCCGTTTCAACATCAGTAGGTAAACGAGCCATTGGAATTTTTGTTTTAGATGTTTGAAATAATCTATACCGGTAAGAAAATCTGCATAGTTATAAACGTAAAATATGATGCAACGGTGAAACGAAGGCAAGTCTATTTCGAAATTTCTCATTAGAAGGAATCATATCGTGTTAACCTATCGTATTGATCTTCTTAGAAGATAAAAAAGGTCATGAACAATCTCCTATAGAGTTACTAGAAAGATTAATGTCAATATAGACATTTTTTGCGAATGTTTACTGATGAGATGATCACATTTCCAATCGGTTATTTCTTTTCAACAAATCAAAAGACGTCATTTGACCTCTACATATTTCATTGCGATAAAGTCAGTAGAATCAATAGAAAAATAGCATAGACTGTAGCGCTCTATCGTTGAATTTCTTATAGTCTGTTACACACGATGTTACCTGACGTTTTTCTAACCTAGCTAATAATAGTAAAACAAGAATGGTTCATACAATTTATACAATAGGACATTCATCTCATGACCTGTCAAGTTTTTTTTCAATTTTAAAACTTTACAATATTGACCAAATAGTCGATATTCGTCGTTCGCCTCGTTCCACTTCTTATCCACATTTTAATATTGATCAATTAAAAGAAGAATGTTCATTATCAAGATCATCTTTCAAATACTCTTTTCAAGGTGATATTTTGGGTGGTCGTCGTCGACGATGTAAATCTATTGCTACATTAAATAATGGTTTATTGGATCGTGATTCGCATGCATATGCTGATCATATGCAACGGATTGAGTTTCATCAATGTGTTAATAAATTAGTTTTATCTTCGTTAACGTCGTCTCTTGTTCTCATGTGTTCAGAAAATAATCCTGAGCAATGCCATCGTTCTTTGCTCGCTGATTACTTATGTCTTGTTCATCATAGTCATGTTGCTCACATTCTTTTTAATGGTGAAACATGCGCTCATCAAGTTAATACGCTAGCTCAAGTTAATGATGAAAACAACACGTGCATTTATCCAGGCATGTTATCGAACTGATTTACAAATAATACTCGCAAATGTAAACATGCCATGAAATTAGAGTCTAAATATCGTTACTGACGAGAGAAGATCACTGACTGTTCAATCGCTTTTTGCTTTGAAAATATTTACATTATGTAGCTCCCAAGGAGTTATGGATACGCTGAAAATATTTTGGGCGGATAGCTTGTTGTTATGAAAATAGTCCATCTTAAAGGTACGGTTTTTAGTGAGTGTCTAGGTTCCCCCTTAGGAACATTAGAAAAAATTTATTTTCAAATTTTGACTTGCAACTTTACATAGATAGACGTCCCAAGGAGAACAACTTTTTGTGAACGTTTCAGATCTATCTACCATTCCTATCAATAGACTCATCTATTGTGAAATGCTTATTCTACATCTTTCACATGAAGTAGTATATTTGACGAAGCAAACAAATTTAATGACCAAAAATGCGCACAAAACACTGTTCTCGTTGAGGTGTGTTTCTATGTAAAGTTGCAAATCAAAATTCGAAAATAAATTTTTCTCATGTTCCTAAGGGGGAGCCCAGACACTCACTAAAAACCATACCTTTAAGATGGACTCTTTTCATAACAACAAGCTATCCACCCAAAATTTTTTCAGCGTATCCATAACTCCTTGGAAGCTACATAATGTAAATATTTTCAGGGCAAAAGGGATTGAACAGTTGGTGACCCTCCCTCGCGAGCATTAGAAAAGAAAAAAACGGAAATGACGGATTGCAATTCATGTCAATAGCAATCCATCAATGTCTATTCGCATGTCTTTATTCTGACAACGTTTTTTTTTCTTCCTTTTTGCAGCTTTCCACTTGGGAAACGTGAAGAAACGACAAGTAGAGAATATAATAAAATGCATTATCTATTCATACTGAGCGAGAGAAAGAGAAGTAGGAAGAAAACGGAAAGACTTAAACCAGTTCGAATTCTTTAATTATCTATCCTCTCTCTCTACATGCCAACGATTTATACGTTCTTTGTCATGCTCTCGATTTAGCTTGTCATTAAAACACAAGCTAACATACATTTTCTTTCAGATGTAAAGAAAATTAAAAAAAACGAACGAAGCAAAGAAATGTCATCAAATTTTAATAATGAAATTCACGATCCTGTTGGTAAGTTAATTAAGCGACCAGCTAATGGTATTTTGAAATCCTCGAAAAGTATGGATGGAAGTCGACTTGAATATAGCCAAGATACTATTTCAAAACTTAATAATTATCCAACAACAGGCATGGCACGATCAGAAAGTAAAAGGTAATAAAATCATAGTAAATAGATAATTAGAAATGTTTTTATTTGTCGTATTTTTTAGTCAAAAGATTCCACATTTTGATGAAATGAATATTATTGCTACATATCATCCAGTAAATAAAGATTATGGTCATATGAAAATTGAAGAACCTAAAACGCCTTATGCTCATAATGATAATATCGACGACGAAATGGATACTGATCTTTATAGTGACGAAACAGCATGTGTAGGTTTCGATCCGGATGCACTGCTTCAAAGGTTTTAATTTATATTTGTATTATTATTGATGATGCATTATATGTATCTGCAGGCTAAATGAAACACCTGGTTCATGTCAATCCCAAATGAATCGAGGATCACGAAGATCACTTGATGAAAATGCTGCAGGAACTCCTGAAGAATTAGGTATTTAATTAATGGGTGAGCCCATGGAGACCTATTCACTTTTTTGGAAAGTTTTTTTCAGTTCAAACTTTCGGTAAGCTCTAGAGAATGCTTTTGATGAAAACAAAATATGATCCTTCGAGCGGAAAATATCGAGTTCTGGGTGATTTTTTCGGAACGACTAATGTATATTGTCAGACATAGGAAAACACCTAAAACTTTTCTAAAATATCTTTTTCAGAATTGTTTCATGTTGAAAAATATGAAAGCTGTCTAGGAACAGTTTTCATGAAAAAAGGTTAGAACATTTCTATTGAACGTCTTGAGTTCTGAGCCTTTTCTTTTGAAAATAACGGTAACTGTCGTTTGTCATGTTGAGTGACACTAATTTATTTGAAGGATTTTGTTTCTTTCTCAAAGAAACGACCTTGGTCATGCTTTGCTCTTAGAATAGCGTCAAACTAATGACTTCGCCCACATAACTCGAGAGAAACGGCATCAGATGATCTCACAGAAGTGAGACCGTAGAATCAAAAAGGGCAACATACTACCGACGGATAAATTGTCGATCTCATTGTAAGGACACCTTTAAATGTGAAGTCTTATGTATAAGTATCGTGACTTCGGACAAATAATATTACGAGATGAATCATCGGATATTGGAAAGGGTCGATTATCAGCTAGTACTTTTTCTGATTTCTTTAAAAATTGTACCTCAATGCCCAAACGAAAGTATTGTGAACATCCAACAAAACATGCAAATCCTACTCGTGTACCCGAAGAAGTAGTGTTTGTATCGACACGTCTATCCATGTTTTTGATTTCTCGATATGACACAGCTGACCACCAAATACACTGGTTATGTCCAACATGTCATGCATTTGAATGAAGGGAAATGATGGCTCGTCCATCAATGGAATCAAGCGATAATGAGAGCCCCAGTGAAGATGAAGCCATGGAAGAGTCTTCTGTTCATGATGGGTGTGGGTGAAGCAGTTAGAATCACAACACCCACACCCATTATTTTCAAAAGAAATGGCTCAGAACTCAAGACGTTCAATAGAAATGTTCTAACCTTTTTTCATGAAAACTGTTCCTAGACAGCTTTCATATTTTTCAACATGAAACAATTCTGAAAAAGATATTTTAGAAAAGTTTTAGGTGTTTTCCTATGTCTGACAATATACATTAGTCGTTCCGAAAAAATCACCCAGAACTCGATATTTTCCGCTCGAAGGATCATATTTTGTTTTCATCAAAAGCATTCTCTAGAGCTTACCGAAAGTTTGAGCTGAAACAAAATCGAAAAAAACCCTTTCCAAAAGTGTAGATGGGTCTCTATAGGCTCACCCTAATGTGTTTATTTACAAATTGATTTAAAAAAATGTTTTCATTTTTAGAGCATCGGAAACGATTTGAGAAGCATCGTAAACAACACTACAATGAGTTTCAAGTTGTTCGACTACGTAAACAAGAAATTGAAGCTGAATTACATGCTCTAGAACAAGAGGAAGCGACAGCAACTGGATCAGAAGAACAAGACAGTCAAGCGTAAGTTAAAATTAATTTCTTCTAGATGAATTGAAATCTTCTTTGTGTACTATAGTATTAGTTCGTCATCGTCAAACGATTCAATCAAACCAATTTTAATTCCTCAACACGCAAGAAATTCACTGTCCTCTTCTCATCATGTACACGTTGAAGACGATCATCAATATGATGTCGATGTACATTTATTAACACCTGAAGAACAAGGTTCGATTCTATTAATATAGAGTGGCAAGAAAAAAAAAGTACATTTTTTTTTTGCAAATTTTAGAACGAAGAAAACAATTCGAATTAAAACGAAGGAATCATTATAATGAATTTCGTGCTGCTCATTTAACAGATCAGGATGATGAAAAATGATTGCTTTGTTCGTTTTTTTCTAAATTTACATGCAAAAATATTGTCTTGTTTTTTTCTATTGATTATTTGTATATACAACAGCGTACTGCAAGTCCTAATTTATTACTTATAGAAAATGATCTGGCCAAAATATTCTTTCAAAATAGGTGATTCATTGTGGATATGTTGTTTAAAAACCTGTATGCAATGGATTGTAGGAAAAATGAACGAAATTTATTTTCCAATTGAAGTCAAATGAAGTTTTTTTTGTTCCCGTCGATGAATAGTATTTTATTTGCTTATTGAAAAGAAAAATAAGACATGACATCTAATAGTTGAAGATAAGTTTATTTTCTAATATAGTTTAAAATTGTTTTGGATGAATGAAACAAGTACTTGTTATTCTATGGAGACGCTCTACAAAAGAGATACGCAAGGGTAAATCTCAATCGGACTATCTTTTATTACAATGCATTATAGTGCAAACTGTAATTTCACAGTCGAAGAGAGAAAAACTATTGAAAGCTAAGAAAAAGGAGCATGCATATGTTTGTAGATGGGCAATATTTTTCAATATGGTAATCATCACTATTGTATATTTTGTATCTAAATTGGCCTAGAAGTTCGATATTTCAGTTTGCAGATAATACACTTAGCGTTGAGAATATGTTATTTAGTCGTCGATTCTTATCAGCGCGCATCTATTGAAATTGAATGGAATGAATTTTCAAAATCAGCTCAACAATTTATGCGCGTTTTCTTTCATTGTAATCTTTTATTCCGGATATTAAAATTTTTCCGAGTAGAAAACGACTTTATCACATAAACAAAGTTTTCTATTATATTTATTATTGCTATTTACTGCATATTTAAAGCATTTCGGAAAAAATACTATTCAAAATATTTCTTTTGTTCCACCATGAAAAGTACTTTTTAAATATAACTATTTGATTGTTAATTACCATGTTTGATTAGTAAAGATTCCATTGATGTATGAATTTAAATCTTCGTGTCTTTTATACATATATATATATATATACTGTTGATTGAAGGTCTACTGTTGAATTCATTCATGGATCTTGACTGGTACAATATTTAAACGATGTAAAACTTATTGAAATCACAGAGAAAAAGCGAATATGTATATTTACCAGAGAACCTATTCAAAATAAATGTTGAAAACATTTTCGGTTTTCAAAAAATGTTGTGTGCTGAGCTTGCGGGTATTTGATCATGGCAGTGTATGCTTCGAAGTCAGCATTATGCTAGTTAATAATAAATTCTAATGTTTTTCATTGTTAAAGTAACATATGGAATCTATTATAGTTGAAAGAACAGACGCCGCGTTAACGATTGGCTAAATCTGTCACATGTTCTTGTATTGATGAAATGTTACATTTTTCAGGATTGGCGAAACATGCTGCCTGCACAAAGCTATTGTATTAATATCCCATCACACTGTTGTATCAACAATGCTGTTAAGGATTCCATTTTTAGCTGCTTGAAACAGATGCTAGTGTCATTAATCTTGATTGATGCAGTCACACCTTGCTTCTCCAAAATAAATTTAATGTATAACCTGTTCTTATATAAACTAACAGAATTTTCAGCTAAATATTACTATCAATCGAAGAGTGTTGCAGTGAAACAAAAACTACACATTACAATGATATTTGCCAAGAATTTTCTCTACGTGTCTTTCACATTACTGATACTTGGTTTACAAGCATCGTTATCTGAATCCACGTTCTGTAAGTAGAACTAGAACCGATTCTTATAATATTGACGAAGAATTATTTAATGGAATAGGGGTTCAAAGTTATCTATCATCTATATTCTTTAGTATAGTTAATACTTTTAAAGTTGTTGCACCCTATCTATTATCTATGGGAGACTGAAAAATTACATTTGAGAAAAAGATGGTGAAAAGTAGATTCATGATAGTCAACCTATTCCGAAAGAAACATGCTATGGCCTCTTTAGGGAGTTACTAATGAACACTTCGCATAGCATACGAAAACATTTTTAGTAGCTCCAGTGCTATGGTACAATATTTAGTTTCGTCATTGTGGAACAAAAATCATTTGTACTTTCTCGAGTTAATCTAATTAAGATCTATAATTGTACTGGTGTAATTTAAAATAATTCATGTCTTTTAATATAGTGTTTCCAATAGGACTGAAATTACTAAAGCCAATTGAACCAGTTAAAATTGACTGCCACCGAGATCATCAAATCACAGTTGACAAAGACAACAATATACGGGGTGTACTCAGAGTCAAATCGTGCCCATTTTCACCATTTATCCAAAAGCCCTCTATGCACGTCAGTTTGTGGTGCATTGGGTTCGTTGGTGGAAAAGGGATTGAAAGGATATGGACTTTCACAGAAATGTGACATCAAGATTGATAAGGTATTGGGTGATAAGGATCAGACAGTATTCCATTATTCACTTCCGTGTGAAAAATCAAATCACGATACAGTCATCGCAGAGTTAAAGAATGCAGTCTCTCATCCTTCTTTCCATGATTCCTTGATACAAGCGAAGCGACCAGATTCGAAAGAATCAAGCTTTGGTAAAAAAGATGGAAAAGAAGCAGCCCATGATAATTCTTTCCATAATGCATTAACACAACCGAAGCGACCAAATTCGAAAGAAGTACACCCTGGTCAGGAAGATGGGAAAGATGCAGCCCATGATCATTCTTTCCAGGATAGATTAACACAACCGAAGCGACCAGAGTCGAAAGAAGTACACCCTGGTCAGGGAGATGGAAAAGATGCAGCGTGTTAAGATGCTCACTCAGGAGAAGAACAACAAGACCACTAAGAAAAAAACCTATTTCTCATAACTCAATTACCTCTTATTTCTTTTCATGGTGAATTGTCAAAGCCAGTCTAAATTTTTTCTTCACAGTGAAATAAGCAGTAAAATAGACTAATACCTAGAATAAAATTTTTCATTCAGTACGCTATTGTAACCATGCACAACGTTGCTAATGGGAAGATTTTTACTACCCCGTGAAAGTACTTTTAACGCTCCAAGTATTGTTATACGAGGCTTTAATTGTTCAGAATCTTGCAGATGCACATGAATGTGCAAAAACTTTTTTAAAACGATACTAATATTAAACGGATATTTTTAAGTGATCTCTATGGTATTGTGATACCTGCTTCAGATCAATGAAAACTGCAATGTTTCAAGAGCTCGAGTTAATACTACGGAAGTCAATACGATGTTCTTGTTCACGTTTCTTAGAAGACTGCATATACTTATTTGATTTTGGTTTACATAATGAAATGAAACTGCAATTTTGTGCATGTCAAGGTTGATCTGACCCGTGTGCCTGCCCTGTTTTGGCTTGTTATTAGCATGCGGTGCAAAAGTCTTTGCAATAATGTCAAACGCTGTTAGACCATGTTGGAGATTGCTAATTCAGCTGACTTTTTTCTTGTTGGAAAGAGCAGTGTCTGAACCTCAAATTTTGTACCAAACATATTTTTCTCGGACGAACCTGGAAATGAGGAAAAGTCAAAAACTAAACGCATGAAAAAACGTTCTTGCAACTTCACCATCCAACAGTATCATTTTCTATTACTATTGGATTCTTGTAAAGTGAAAAAGAGACTGAGTAAATCACGATGAATGATGATTTTTGCAGCATGAAGGATGCTCTTTCCAATGATGTATTGATAGTTAAATTTAGTTTTAGTTTTTGTACTGAAACATTGCTATTTTCGAGAGAGACTGATAAATTTGGTGGTTCTCACAATATGACCATTTTGAAACTGCAAAAGATATTTGATAAGTTATTGTTGCTGTCAAGTTTCTAAGGTTTGATATATTTCGCATGAATAAAGCGAAAAAATAGAGTTCATACATGGTTCCTGGTAGATATTCTTGAAAATTGATAGTTGTTTTTCACAAAAATTTCGCTTTTCAATTTTTTTTTTAACGACTCAAGAATGAATCTAAAAATCTTCCGCAAGTTGGTATCGATAGAGTTTTTGAAACTCTACATTGTGGTGTATGATTTGTTAAAATTCTACTCATGTAGTCTCAGATATTTCTGAAATACCGATCTTTCCAGGTTGCAGGAACGTTTTTTTCATGCGACTAGTGTTTGGCTTTTCCTTATTTCCAGGTTCGTCCTAGAAAAATATGTTTGGTACAAAATTTGAAGCTCAGACACTGCTCTTCCCAACAAGAAAACAGTCAGCTGAATTAGAAGTCTCCAACATGGTCTGACAGCGTTTGACATTATTGCAAAGACTTTTGCATCGCATCTTATGCAGTAAATTTAAGAGCTTGTCTCAACAATCAGGTGCTAGACCGCACCAAGCAACAACGTCTAGAGTCAACTGCTTGTTAGAACAAATTACTCAATCCCTTCGCTACAATTCATTCACTCCGGTCGTGTAGATTGATTTTCTACAAGCTTTCGACAAATTGTGGCAATAAGAACTTCTACTCAAGCTATATAGACTAAGCTGTCCTACTGCCTATCTCGTTTGGATTGCTCATTACTTCTCCGACCGGACTCTTAAAATTGACTACGGAGGTGTGGAATCTGCCTTAATTAATGTTCAAAGAGGAGCTCTTCAAGGTAGTTACCTCGGTCCTGTTATGTATGTCATCGCTCATCATGACTTTCCGCAATGTTTTGAACATCCTACACAGGTACATGCATATGTGAATGATATCGTACTGGTCTACATTCCATCAATTCATTTGAAATTCAGTTCACAAGTAGTCGAAATTCAAGGTCGAATCAATAACGATATGGCTGAACTGCTAAATTACGCAGACAAATGACACCAACCATTAAACCCTAATAAAACTGAGTTTGTAGTGTACCACAAGTCAGCTAAAAGTCTCAATGTCACTATTTACTGTAACGGAGTTAAAATTATGCAAAGGAAGAACTTCATATATCTTGCATTTCATCTCGACGCAAAACTGTCGTTTCACAATATGCTTGATGCTCAATTTACAACACTAAGGAAAGCTTATGCAATTTTAAAATCCATCCATCGCCAATTCCCATCATTCTCAGGATTCAAAATGAAATTCTTTAATAGTTATACATGGCCACGCTTTTAAAAGCTTGCATCAACTTATTGCCTTTTCTCAAAAACTTCACGTTAACGATTAGCCTCATTCTACCGACGATGCTTAAAATTGGTCTATTACCTATTCCAACATCTTACATATGATCTCAAGGGGAAAACAGCAGACACCATGATTTCATGACTCCTCGTGTTTAGGTATGACTCCCTGGGATCCTATGGGATTCTATGCAACCAGTTGGCTCCATATGATTCTGGGTGATTCCACTTGACTCCACCTGACTCCGAGGAGTTGGAGTCTGCTGTTTCCTCCTTGTATGACCTCCATCAACACTTTTATCTACCCATGATTGAAACAAAATACAAACAAGGCCTGCTGAAACGGATAAAAAACATTCAAGCATATGAGCGGATTCTCCTCGAATGTGCTCTTCAATACAAACACTTACTCAGTCAACTGTATAACCACTATCGAATTAAAGTGTATCTAAGGCACATGCCAGTAGGTTGACCGAGTAAAAGACTCTCAGCATTTCTTGAAAACGATTGTCATATACCTTTTTCGATAATCTATGTGAATTTGTCTTTTCTTAATCTATTTGTAATTTCATTATCTCGGTTTCTCGTCTCTTCTTGAAGATTTTGTCAATAGGCCTGCATATGTGGCCTTCTGAGTTATCAGATAACTCGGTATAAATAAGGCGGTCAACGCCGTAAGGTGAACCCGCCATATCAAAATAAATCATGCGATACAAAAAGGGAAAATTTAAGAGCTTGTGCATTGGTATGGATGTGACAGACGAAACAGCTTTATTCCCCTTTACATAGACAAGTTTAGAAAAAAAGTTGGCTTTTGTGGAAAAAAAGCTACAGTGACATATTTTTATTTTATGAAACAAGTATAAATATTTAAATTATTTTTTTCTGAAAATATGAAGTTTATGTTTTCTTATTAAATCGTTCATAATGGCTTAATGGACATGGCTGATTAAATATTTCTAGTACTTCCAAAAGTATCAGCTGTTGTCATCATTGTTTTAAATAATCCATATGAAAATAACTTAGAATGTGGTTTTACTGCTAACTGATAATTCAATGTATTCAAATAAACGACAGTAGAGATAGTTCAATCTTTTATAGTAGTTAATGTTTTATGATCTATATTTGAAGACAATCACATAATAGAATATGTTATACATTTTCACTCGTGCAAATTAATGAAATATGTCTTGAAGATATAATGTATATATATATATATATATATATATGTCGTAGGATAGATTAAAATCCAGTACAGTTTTAAATCGAACTAGGACAGATTAAAATTTTAAAGTGAACTAGTTGACTTCGAAATGCATTTTAATCTCAACTAGTTGACTTTAAAATTTTGATCTGAACTAGGACACATTAAAATGTTTAGTCAAATTATCCGTGGCTGGCTGGTTGAAGATACGCGTTGGGGTGACGACAAGGGTCTATGGTGAATGATGATGGGTGAAGATGGAACTATTACCCGCGTCCTCGCGCTCGCCTTCACTTTCACCTATTATCCATCCAAATGTGTATATTTCAATCTGAACTAGTTCAAATCAAAATATTTTAATCTGTCCTGGTTCAGATCAAAATATTTGAAACTGTTCTAGTTCAGTTTAAAATATTTTGATTTTTCCTAGTTCAGATCAAAATTTTAAAGTCAACTAGTTGAGATTAAAATGCATTTCGAAGTCAACTAGTTCACTTTAAAATTTTAATCTGAACTAGTTCACTTTAAAATTTTAATCTGAACTAGGAAAAATTAAAATTTTAATCTGTCCTAGTTCGATTTAAAACTGTACTGGATTTTAATCTATCCTACGACATATATTTTACGTAAGAAAGAATGAAAAAGTATGCACTATCAAAACAATGATAATTAGATTCTAATTATATAACAAAGTTATGATTATGATCAGAAAAACAGTTTGGTTGGTTTTCTTTCTGTTGCACGTTGAAATGTACTCAGATATGCAGAAAGTCAATCATTTATACTATCTTTTCTTATTGCCACCATTGAGTAAGCGATGATTGTGCAACTTCTGCGTTACTTATTTTAATATTTGCTAATTATAAGAAAAAGAAACTGATCACAATCATTCTTATTTAAAAAATAAAAGTCTGTTATGTACCTAAAATTCGAATGGCAGTATTTTTCGAGATTCAGATGCTATCTAAAGAATATTTTTTTTACCAACCTATGCGTGGCTAAATATAGAAGACTGATTCTAACAGAGTATTCGAATTATTGTTTTTGATACATTCATTTTCTTTGAGTGGTTCAATCGGGTTCGAATAATCGATAGGATTCTTCTGAGAACTACGTTCTGGTCGAGTTCTAGAGTTTTGAATGGATGCAGAACTATGTAAAACAAGTTTTAAAATTGGTAATATTTATCCTGTGTACAGAATGGAATGGTGGTGAGGTACTTATAATGGAAGCAAGCATACAAACTGAATAGATAATTATTTCATATTTTCGACTATTCTGCAGACTCTTGAGGGTTAGTTTTAAAGTTTGTAAGCGTAAAAAAAGAAATTTATAGATTTACATATCCGTGTACATTAAAGAAAAGTTCAAAGTACGCGCCTACTAAGCAAACACAATAATAATGAAAAAATAAAAAACTGAATCAACATGTTTGCGCGATAAGATAAGATGCTCTGTTTTATCTAAACGCAGTATACTTCTTTTCGTTTCTTCATAACAATCGTGATACAGATTAGAGTTGGCTCATTCCATAAGATATATAGCATGGATTCTATTGTCTCATTTATAACGCTTGCTGAGCAAATTATTCTTGAAGATGGTATTCATTTTCCTCTTGTTATCAGCCCAAAATTGAATTCATTGGAAAATTTGTCCGATACAGTCTCATTTGTAGAAAAACATCGTGAGGAACTGCTTGTACATCTTCGTCAGTGTGGTGCCATCCTTTTTCGTGACTTTCCTATTACTGATGCGTCTGCATTCGATACATTTGCACGTGCCTTCAACTGGATGCCATTACCGTATGTTGGCGGTGCAGCACCGCGACAACAAGTGACTAGCATCGTATTTACCTCGAATGAAAGTCCACCATCAGAACCTATTCCGTTTCATCATGAAATGGCACAAGTACCGAAATTTCCTGAACATCTTATGTTTTTTTGTGACGTTCCATCTACACGCGGTGGTGAAACGCCTATTGCTTACTCTCCTATGATCTATAATCGAATCAGTGAGGCGTTACCTGAATTTGTACAGAAACTAGAAGAGAAAAAAATACGATACACTCGGGTGCTGCCCAATGGAGATGATCCACAATCAGCTATAGGGCGCGGCTGGCAATCAACTTATCAAACAGAAGATCGCGACTATGCTGAAAAGGTTTGCCACGAGCAAGGCACTGGTATGTATCGTGCTGTTGACTACAAAAAAATAAAGTAGCTATTTTGATATAGATTACGAATGGCTGGATGATGGTTGTTTGAAAACCACAACAAAGATCTTACCTGCAATTCGATTGGATGAGCAAACTGGTATCTATTCTGTGTATTTGTTTTTTTATTTAAAACTCATCTAGTATTCTTAAGGTAAAAAGACGTGGTTCAATTCTATCGTAGCAGCATATACGGGTTGGTCGGACAAGCGTAATTACGGTAAAAAAGCTGTTACATTTGCCGATGGTGAATTGATGAACGAAGAAGACATTCATCGATGTGTTGCAATACTGGAGGAATCAAGTGTAAGCTTTACATGGAAAAAAGGAGATGTATTACTTATTGATAATCGACAAGTATTGCATGCTCGCAAATCATTTGAACCACCACGACGTATCCTTGCAGCGCTATTTCAATAAATAAAAAATTCGTAATTTATTTTTGCTGATTTTAATAAAATGTAAAATGTATATGCAGACTCAATTTTACAGAATTTGATTTGAATTAAACGGATTTCTCTTCTATTGACGTAGAGTAGATGAAGTTTAAAGTAATGATAAATGATTTTGTAGATTTAAGTCGAAATCCACCGAAAAGCTATCACTATTAGAAACAATAATCTGAAATATATTATCGACTTAGACTTACTCACATAGAGATACAATGATAGTGTGAGTATAGACAGCTCTCTTGAATTTTGATTTAGATCTACTGAGAAACAGGAAAAATATAGTCGCTTGAACTGAATATTGTAGTTTTGTTGCCAAGATTTTATCCTTTTTCAAATTATTTTTTTTATTTAATTAATAAAAAGCTTCCCGTATGTTCCGTTACGATCACACTGCGACGCAATTACTGCGTAACTGCGATGAAAAAATCGTAGTTTCGCGTAGTGACGGTAAAAAAAACTCACAACTATGTGTAAATACGTCGTATTTTTTCGTAAATATATGTCACAGTATGATCCTAGATATGGCACCATTGTATCGTAATACTCGATATCATTGACTAATATTCATTAACAATTATCGAAAAAATATAGGTAACTAGAATGGTCTTGTTTGTTCTTCTTCATTTATTAAATGTTTTAATGCATATAATTACATATCGCGAAAAAAAAACTGTTCAAATTTAAGGAACTTTGCTCTATTAGACGATGATTGTGAAGATATCAATTTCAAGAACACAAATGGACGGTAAATGCTTTAAGCACAGGTACATCAACTGTTTCGGTAATATTCAATCGAACAGCGGTAATCATTTGCGATCCTGCTTGCCATAAATCAATCTTTTTATTGCCAATACTGGTGCCACTTGCCACAGATTTCCATTGATCCTTATTAGATGAATCAGCTAATTGTACATCTATTGAATATACGCGAATAACTTGACCAAGCGTTTGATCTTCTTGAACGACTGAACGATCAACAGTCACTGGTGAGTCAAAAACTTGAAAATGGATTCTTCCATCGGCTGAAGAATTTCGATAGATAGGTACAACAGAAGTACCATAACATGCACGAATAAAGTCGCCCAATTCTTTATAGCGAAGCGCATATGCAGATGGAATGAGACCTGTTCTATCAGGTGTTAGATCAATCATTAGCATACAATTATGACCGACTGAACGATGATAAACATCAATCAATTCTGTAAGACTACGAAGTAACACATGAGGACCCTGAAATAAAATAAAATAGGAAAATCGAATAGTGTATATGTTTAGCTTGTTTCTCTTCTTATACCCAAAACCATCGATCGAATTGTTGAAGTGTTGTATCACATTCGGCTGGTATAAAAATAGGACTGTTAGGATCCCCACCACCTTCTAGACCAGTAGACCAAGTAGGATCGGGTGCATGGCCAAATTCGTTACCAATCCAACGAATCGGATTTCTTGTTACACCATATCCACCGAATATTATAGAATCAGGTTGAAGTTCGCTCACTAGAGCAGCGACCGAATCGTGTAACTCTGCAGTATAGCTAAAAATCTTTGAAATTTAAATTCAGCAAACGTGTTACATGCCAAATATTTTACCCTCCATCAAACCAGATTTCATCGAGTTTACCATAATTCGTCCATAATTCTCTCAATTGTTGTAATACAATACTATCATACGTCTGTTGAGTAATATTCAATTGTCCTTTTTTTAGTGTAGTATTTTGAACCTATGCGTAAAAATAAGATTTTTATAGGAGGGACCATTGCCCAATCTAAAGAAAACTTAACGAACCAAACCCTGTTTGACATTAAGATAATCATTATTAACGACAGTATAGTAAAACCCGTGCCTTATATTCTGTTTATTGCAACTCTTAACAAAATTATCAAGGACATTAACACCTTTGACAGGTGAATAATCCACTGTATAATTGTATGGGATAATGCGACCAGATGGACTCAATGGAAATGTGACATTTGTTGGTGCCATGAGAAAACCACACGCATGCTATCAAAAAATCAAAATATACATGGATCATATTCGAGTATAAATATTTACTTTAGCTACCAATACAGCATATTTCGCTCCGAGATCGATCATTGTTTGTGCCCAATTATTTGTATTCAATTTGTAGGGATTAAACAGTGAGATAGATGGAACCATATCGCCTGTACATCCATCATGATTGTCTACATAAGTAGCCATGTTGAAATGAATTAAAACACCGATTTCTTGTGCTTGCCATTCGAGTTGCTCGGGTGCTATGAAGTAGAAGAATACCAAAGATTAATTACAACTCTTTTCTTTTTTTTTCCATGAAAATGACGCAACAAAATACAAATATCTATACTAACTTGGCAAAGCAATACGAACGCCAGTCAACGGAGATATCCGATGTCGAGCGGATCTCAGCGATAAGTGTTGTTGATGACGATGGTAAACAGACAATCGACCATTCGTAACTGCGATTAACACCAGTAAGACAACGACTAACCGATGCATGTTGTATGCAAAGAAGACACTTACCTGTAGTTATCTGACTGAATTTTTTAAAGACAAAAAAGAATACACACTGGTCCAACTGATAAGACTCGAACAAACACAACACTTGTCTATTCGTTCTTTATTGCCAAAAGATAATTTTGAGGCAGGACTTGAACGAAAACCAAAAACCAAAAAACAACCTGGAATCCTAATTCTTTTCTCGTATCTATAATTTGTTATCGTTTTGTTGATTTTAAAATATTTTATTTAAAGAAAATTTTGTATTGAGCATATTGATGAATCATGGGAAAATTCTTTTAGAAATCGATAGAACTTTTATAATATTGTTAACTTCAATAATATCATGGATTGTTATTTTCTTTAATTCTAAACTTTGAATAGAACCTCAAACAAGGATCGCAAGTTTTATTAACGCCCGGATGCTAGTCATGATGACAAATATCACGTTTCACAGCTTGTTTACTTATTAATTGTATTGCCAAGTAAGAACTCATGATCATAGTCGAGCACTTACTGGTGCTTTAAACTCATTTTAATCACTGAACTTTCAAACATACATATGATCGATATAATGTCTGAGCAAATACACAACTTGTTATCTACATGTTAACACGGTAAATCGCAGTGGAAACCTATAGGCGAATTGTCCGATTGTTTCCTGTTATCAAAACGCTGCATCTGCCTTTTCGCGGAATCTGTTCTTCTACTCATTTATCGATCATCAGAATCCAGTTGTTGTAAGAATTTGATCTTCTTTACAGTCATAAAATATGAGGGCTGTCAAAGATCCTAAAAATGTCCACTTTTCACAAAGCCCGTTAACGAACAGAAGCACTTTACTAGTCAAAGGAAACAGTCGAAACTCTATAACATTGCCATTATACAGTTCTATTCTACTTTTCTATATCTGTACATCACTCTTATTTCTCGTAATGGAATTTTTTTTCTTCTACAGAGCGTTTGTAGTACTTTACTGTTATCTTTCCTACTATGTACGAACTCTTTTATTCGTTTGAGTCTTTTCACTACCGCAGCAGCTTTTACAAGTTCTATCGTAGTTTATCATGCTTTTCATAACATAGAAATCTATAATTACAAACTTGTGTGATAGAAAGTTTAGTATGATTTCAAATAAAAAAAAGAAAAATTAATCGTTTTTTTTCTTTTAAAGAATGATAGAAAAAATATATATTTAGCATATCATATTATAACTGACAAAGCAACAGCTAGAGAATAAATATTCATTGTTCTTAACTTTGTTAAATATAAAAACAAATGTCTTTATGGTCATGCCTCTGCAATACTTGCCTTATTATTTGTTTGTAAAGAGCATTAGAACATGTCATCATCATTTATTGATCTTCGTTCAGTTGCAGTAACAAAACCAGCACGTTGTGCCGATATTGATGGCACGCTTCGATGATTCTCCTCCCTTCTCTTTCTGTTCTCTTTCCATTGTTCTAATGTATCTCTCTTCTATCTCTCTCATATATATACGTGCGTTATGTATGAAGTTGTTACACTCTGGAGATGTCAGATGACACAATACACCATCATGCCGACGGGCATAGGCGACACTCTAGTTTTGTCGTTACACTTTGGATAACTTGAAGTAGCCTAATAAACATCTTTGCCGAGAGTGGCACAAGCTACTCCAATATAGTTGTTCGTTACACACGTGAAATGCGTCAGGCAATGCTCGATGCTGAAGTTGAAGACGATGTTTATGGTGGTGATTTAACTGTGTTAAAACTACAAGATATAGCAGCCAAATTATTAGGAAGAGAAGCAGCCTTATTTGTTCCGTCGGAAACAATGGAAGATCTTATTTGTGCTCTCAATCATTGTTCACAATTTGGCTCAGAAATGATATTGGGCGATGAATGTTACATGAACATATATCAGCAAGATGGATGCGCAACATTAGCAAGAATTCATTCGCGAACAGTTACAACATAGCCAGATGGAACACTTCTACTTCAAGACATCGAATAACGAATTTGAACCGTCAAAGATGATGACTATTTTCCTTGCACGAAACTCGTCTGTTTGGAAAATACACACTACAGAATGAGAGAAAAAGTTTTAACTGTTGAATACATACAAAGTGTTGGAAAATGATGTCAACAATATGGATTAAAATTGCATATGGATGCTTCACGACTAATGAATGCAGCTGTTAAATTAGATGTCAGCCCAGCTGAATTGGTTGAACCATGTGATCCTGTTTTATTTTGTTTATCAAAAGGTTTAGTAGCACCGGTTGGATCACTCATCGTTGATACACATGAATTTATTCTACAAGCTAAATGATTGAGAAAAGTTTTGGGAGACAGAATGAGACAAGCAGGTGTGTTAGCGGCTGCTAGGATCATTTCGTTAACACAAACGCCAAACTTATTAAATTTAGACCATCAAAATGCCAAATTACTTACAGAAGGATTATCAAAAATCAATGGATGTGAAATCGATTGTGAAAAGGACGTTTAAACAAGCGTGGTATTTTTTCTATTAAATTTTGATAAACTCCAAATAAATGCACAAACATTTGCTAATATTTTAAAGCAAGATGATAGAATATTGGTATCGGTAAAAGGAAAGTTCAAATGTCAATTTATTACACATTATATGATTACAAGAGAAAATATTGAGTATGTTTTAGAAAAAGTTAGACATTTGTTAGAAAGCACCCCAGGACAATCATTCCAACCGTCGAAACGAGCATCTTAAAAGACCTGAGCCGGCTATAAACGGCATAATAAGGCAATAATTTTTACCTTATTTCGCCGTAATCCGTTAGCTCCTTTTACTGGCCGTTTTTTTTCGCTAGAAAATGACCATCGTTTTTAACACTATATTCATCGTTTTCCGAGCTGGTGGAAAGCGCTGCTGTTTTTCAACGTTTTATACCGTTTTTATGGCAGTTTACGCACCCTTTTCTTGGACATAGGACTAAAAAAGCTTGCTAGCGTTAAAGTGTGAAACTCACATATATCCCGCGGGTGTGAATGGGGGCACTGTCCTTGATCATTTTTATTAGAAAAGAAAAGATTCATAATTGAAAATCTTCACACCGCTACAGTTCTCTATCAATTGATAGTATGTGCCTACATTGGTAACAAATTAAAGAATAGGTCACTAATGAATCGTTTAGTTATATGCACATTTTGGCGACGATTTGAAATATAAATCAAAGATGTTGGCGAATATGCTCGAATAGGCTTTCCAATCGATTAGTATCATTGTCGAGTAAATCGACGAGGCATTTACGTGCTTTTTGTACGACACCATACCATAAAACTGACAGTGAAGAGTAACGCGTTTCCAATATGATGATAATAATAGCCGAAATAAGAACTTGATGATTGTACGATGACGAAAACACAGACAAAGATCGACCTACCAATTTTTCCATAGTTTTCGAATCTAGGTCCCATAGACCATCGAAGTTTTGTCTATCGATCAAAAAGCGAACAACACTGTGATCGTCTTTCGGCAATGCCTCTTCTGAACTTCTTGCATTTGATGAACTGGACGTTAATATACTAGGACTGTGCATCATTGATGTACACTCTGCAAAGCTTTCTGGCTCGAAGCAGTTTGACATTGAAGCCATGGCATCTTTTTTAACTTGACTACTGCGAGACGAATCTCTGTTTTTAATACTTCCCGGGACTGGCGATCGATAGCTCGACTTTGATGTTGGCATCATCATCATATTCTTCTTCATAAATGATACGCTAGAGGCCCTAGCAGGAGGAACGTTTGCATTTCTTATTGTCAAATGTTGATCATCTGCTGAAATTTGAATGGGCACTTCACGTAAGGTCATACCGGCATTATTTCCGTTTTCACGTTTTTCGACGCCAACAAATGCAGTGTATGGACTGAGAATTTTATATTTGAGTGATAATTCAATAATTCTTTTCTTTGTCATATCTTTTTCATCTGTCGTAGCTGTTGTCGATACTTGCTGAGATGGTTGAAACCGAGTTTGTAATGAACCTGTAATATTCTTTGATGGAGTCTTCGCATGTTGTAGTTCAAGAATAAGTGCTTTAGCAGCAAGTCGAGCGATTGTCCCATTGTTGTTCACGTTCGGTATACGATTAATATTTGCTTCACCCAATGGATGTTGATCAACATAGAATTTTACGCTAGCGTTTTGATCGAATCGTGAAGTCAAATCATCGGCTAATGCGTAGACCAGCAGTCGATCGTTAACATACACTGGCGGTATCTTTGTTGGAATACTCGTTACAAGTGTATTCAAATTCCAGTTTACTTGTGTATTTGTTATACAAGGTTGAAGAGCTTTTTGTAATTGTTCACCGACATAAATATCAACGCTACTATTAGGTGGAATAAAAGCAAAACGACCATTGGTTGCTCTAGCAAGACCTTTCACCAACGAACGACTAGGCGAATTACCCAAACCAAACGAAAATATTCGTGTAGATGTTGCCATTGAACGGCATAAATCTATTACTTGATCGACATTTGAAATTTCTCCATCGGTCAATAGAAAAACTTGTCGAGCATGTCCTTGTTCTGGTATGTGTTGTTGAAGCCATTCAAGAGGTTTTAACTGAAAGAAAAAATATTAGTTGTAAATTGAAATGTCCATCGTACTAATTGTATCGAACTTACAAGTTCAGTTCCACCTAAATCTGCTTGCATTTGTTTCATATATTCTTCAGCTTTTTGAACATTTTCTTTATTGTACACAGCCGTAATCTTGTCAAAGAGCGACTGATGTAAAGATCCAAATCGAATAATATTGAATTTACAATTGACTGGAAGACTTTTAAGAAATAGTAGCATTGATTGGCGTGCTAATCCGATCTTGTTTTCATCTCTCATTGATCCACTACAATCAATAACAAAAATGAATTCATTCGTTGTTCCAATATTATTCATGATACGTTGACAATCATCTTCTGTTGGCGTAAATGAAGCCATAATAGCGCCTGATTCAATAGCGATAATTGTATTCGACCGGTTCTCAACGAGATCCACATCGAGAAGAATATCTCGATCCAGATGTGTATTTTGCTGAGCAAATTCAACCGTATAAAAATCTTCTTGACTAAAGCCCACTTGAATCGGATGTGACGGTGAACTGACACTTGAGACACCCATTTTATCGACTTGACATCGAAAATCAATGGTATAAGAACTTGTTTGAACATATTTTGAATTGGTTTCAGCTGGTGAACCAATACCACCGTTATTTGGATTATAACGAGGTGCAATCGTAGTGGGAATAACAAAACGAATCTTCCGACCATTTTGTATAAGATCGAGTTCAGTCACATACGATATTGTTATATGACATTCTTTGCCCGGTAAAAGTCCACCAACATTGATAATAAAATTGTCCTGGGATTTTTCATTTTGTTCCAGTAAATAGGCACCTTGGCCTTGACGAAGAGCATCACTATATTCTTGTTGTGCCTCCTGTTTTTCTTTTAGATTCGCAATTATTTCTCGATCGTCAATATGAGCGACAAATGCATAAACAGCAGCCTGTTCTTCAATGGGAAAGCAATAGACAGCTTCGATCGGTGTTGCTTCATCGTTACGAAAAACTTGTTTTATTGTAACATCAGCGGCAAACGATCGTATTGTTGCTTCAACAGTCACTCTTTTCAATGAAACATACTCTGATTTTGGTTGTTGTTGAGGATGAGCGGTTAAAATCGATGTAGGTTTGATGCACAACATTTTGTGATCTAATGTATGTTACAAGATATTTTGTATTTATATAGGAGTGACTGCATCTATGAAAAAAATATAATGACTAAAAGTCAATATGAGGCAAGAATGTTAAAGAAATAGTTCTGAATCATCGAAAAGCAAATGTTTTTTATCTGAAAGTAATACACCCACCGATTCATCTAGAATTGCACAATTATACAACAAGCAAGATAACATTGGCAAATAGTTTTCTCATGAGGATAATATGCTTCCTTATGCAAAACAAAAATATCACAGCTAAAGTCAAATCACTCCTGTCAAAGATAAAGTCTATGGTGGTATGTTGCTGACTCGTAAAAAAGAAGAAGGATGAATACGTATTATTATTATGCATGTAGTTACTCACTCAGCATGTATCATTGAAGTAAATACCAATAGTTTTCAGTATTGAAGAAGATATAGTCAGGTATTAATATAAATTACTGACTTCTTATTGGCTTAGATTTCAATTTTTAGAAAAAATAAAAGCCGTTTGAACTCTATAATCGATATATCGAAGCTATTTCGAACTCGGATCAAAAATTATAAGGTCTCACTTGCATGTTGGTCAGATAGTTTAACTTTGGAAATTTTTTATTTGTCGACAACGATTATACTGCGAGGTAGGCGCACCATGGGTCATGGTTGGTAATTCAAACCAACCTCTCGGCTACCTTGAACTGATATCGTCTCTCTAGTCTATTCCGAGTATTGTGACAAACATTCCGATGTTTGTCAAACCAACAAATAATAATTTCTATATTTTCTTCTAATTTCTGAAGATTTAAGAATAGTATTGAGTGCTGTTTCGAGATGAATTTTTATAAGACACACTTGTCACAACATCCGCAAATCTATTTTACATGCTGCAAAAATTCTTTTTACTGATTAGTTTCATATGACGATGAGCATGACGCATTGGAGTTCATCCGATCCTTTTAACTGGTGAATAATTTTTAAAAAGATGACGTTCTATTTCTTTGTTAATGCATATTATTATTTTTATTAGCAACCAGAGATTGTTTTTCTACATGTCATTTGTACAATATAGAAAAAAAAAGAAAACACATAGCAAGCATTTCATTTCATTTCATAGAATGATGAAAGAAAATAATTATAAATCTATATACATTCAATCAATGAACAGAAAATTTTTTCCCAGAAAGTAAAAAAAGAAAAGAAAAAGACCAGAAGAAACTAAAACAAGAGACATGGAGAAAAACGAAATCATCAATAATAAATAAATAAACTCGACAAAATTAACGTATTAGCAATCGTCGCAGGTTACTTCGTGTTTTATTGGAAAAAATAGGTGATATAGAAGCTCGTTTACGCCATGGAGATTTTATTGGGCCAATTGTAGTTTTACATGGACTTGATGGATGATACGGTCCCGAACAATATTGACAAAAATTATTTTGACATAATGGATTCGTACAAATGCTGAAAGGAGAAAAGCTCGGTTTAAAAATTATATGAATTGTAGTAACGAAACTTTTGGAATTTAATTATGTAATCACTAGACCTATCAAATAATTCTGTACGAAATAGAGGTTAAATGATGTCAAAATGCAAGGTCCTCAGCGCTACAGATATTTATGAAAATTTACTTTCGAAATTCTACTCGAGATTTTATATTGACGTTTTAGAAGCAGATAAGGAACATCTTCAATATCATGCATCGAACAACCGCCTATTTCTATGTATAACGTTTTCCTTATGAGATCCACAGCACTTGCAGTGTCAAAGGACGAACATGATCAGTTATAGTATAGATTTTATTTTCAAAAAACATACCCATGCTGATCATTCACATCAACAATTGAAACAAAGCCACAAAGTGGACATCGCTTAGGAACTGTTGGTCCATGCAAATATTTCAAATATCCATAACGAAACGTCATCGTGCTTGCAGCCAGATGAATATTATCTTCTGTATTTGACGTTGATTGGTGTTGAAGTTGAACTCGATTTTTATCTGTATTTGTTATTTCAATGTTAAAAGGTATGGTTAATTTCGAATGAATTGTATTTGTTATTGTTTGCATTGGTGTACTCGTTAATTTCGTATTTCTTATTGGTGATTGTTCTGGGTTGATGATATTATTAAATAAATTTCGTTTGACATTTTTCGTTCGTTTCCGTTGATGATAATCTTTGACAGTAAAATTCCATTGTTTAGAAACATTTAAACAAGAAGTTAAATCATGATTAGATAAACTATTTAATATTTCATCAATTAGATGAGATGCATTACGATGATTTAATTGTGTTAATATATCAAAATATTTTCTTGTTGTTACATAATTTTCATAATCAATGGTTGAAAGAAATTTTTGAGCTATTGGATTAATTGGAGATTGATTATTATGTTCAGATAAGGGAGAATCACATTGATTAAAAACGACCATCGATGGTGATAGACGAGATGGAGATGTTAAATATGAAGATGAAAATGTTAAATAACCTGAATCAAGTCGACTATTAACAGACATAAGAGTAGGAAGAAAATCATTGGAATTATCATTATTTTCATCGTTCACACAACTCGACATTTTGCTTTAATTTTATTGAGTTTCAAATACAATGTCTAAAATGAAAGAAAAACGATTCATATTTATTTACCAGTCGCTATAAAATCGTAGTACACGATTTCTATGATAAGGAAAATCAATTCAGAGAACTAGCGAAAGTTCTGAAACAACCAAATGATGCATACCTCTCTTATAGTTAGTGCCGGAACTTAAAATTGATTCACTACTTGGAAAAGTGTCTGTGAATATTGTACAAAATTTGATCGCATAGAAATCGTCATAACCTGTATCTAATGAACTTTTTATCCCTAGTTCGAAATTCGAATAAGTACACTGAAAGAGATAAACGTCTCTTTATGCATTCGAGGTCATTTTAACAAAGATGTTTATTTACTAATACTTTTAGTTCGCTCTTTGTCTTCTAGGAACAATGAACCATCTGTTCAGTATTTATCATTGCACACAAGAAAACATATTTTCAATGAGATTATTTTATTTTTTTCTTGGAATTTATCGAATGCTTTTTTAATATTATTTTTTTCCGCTTTTCATGATAGAGGATGTGTACAAAATTCTGATTGGCTATTCTTTGTCTACTACCTGGATTTGTCATTTGTGTTTTATTTTTTAAACTAAACATGTCGACGAATCTAAATGCCACATTAAATTTTGTTGAAAAAGACGTTGATAAAGCTATTGAATCTGTACACGAATATTATAGAAATATCGATACAAACATCGATAATATCATCGAACAAATTCAAAGTATGATATCGAATTCTACCGATGATAAATTAGTGAAAACATCCGTTCAAAATATGATAAAACCATTAGCTAAACAATACAGTGATAAACATAAAGATTTACATGGTTCAATATCGAAAATTGGTAAAACAATTGATAAATATTTTCAATCCGATTTTGGTAATGTTCCTATCACAGAATTGTTTGATACAACGGAAAAATTAAAATTAATTTATATGATTATATGTGAAGATCTCTATCGACAAGGACGTATGTCAATAGCAGAGAAATTAATTGAAGAAACAAAATTAGATGATAATGATTTATATAATCTTGAAAAAAATTTTCTAGAAGAAATAAATATGATTTTAGAAAATTTACGTGAAAAAAATGTTTTACCAGCTATTGATTGGTGTATTCGTCATCGGAATGAGTTAATTAAAAATGATAGTTTATTGGAATTTCATTTACATAAAATGCGTTTCGTCCAATTATTACAAACGGGAAATTTCGAAGAAGCAAAAGATTATTTTATTCATCTAAGGCAATATTCAACTCTCAATGGACAATTTGAACAAGATGTAAATTACTTAATGGGAGCATTTGTTTTTGCTCGACGAGATTTATCACAATCACCCTATAAATATCTTCTTGAACCTCATCTTTGGTTACAATTATCAGAATTATTTATGCAACAAGCATTTCAACAACTTGGACTCGCTCAAGATAGTCCACTTTATGTCGTGATGAAAATTGGTTTTCAATCTTTACCTGCTCTTATGAGGTAAATTTTAAAAAAATCAAAGTTAACAGACTCATTATATTACCAATAAAGTTCTCCGCTGGATAAATCTATTGTATAGTAACATCATTGAGTTTGTAGTTCTTATGTCAAAAATATAGTAGTGAATCGAAACACCTGAAAATTTTCGGCAGTCGATCGTAATGCTCACGCCCTTTGTTTCTCGCTGAAATCTACAGTTGTACTATCGAAGTAAATGCGCTAGAAAGAAAAAAGTTTGCTGACGCATGTAATTTATGTATATAATACAGAAACATCATAGTATGCATAGAGATTCTTTTTCGTTCAGTTATTTATCTATAAATATAGACTCGTACTGTTTTTCTAGTAATGTTCGATGTATACTATTCTTCTTTTCTTTCTTTACTAATCTAACATATCTTCTCGATGAAAGAAAAAAAGCAGTTTATATTGAATATAATGTGTTTCGTATTTTTCTAGTATTGTAAATGCAATGCAAAATACACAAGTATGCCATATTTTATCGAAAGATGAATTACCTATTGAAGTTGATGTTGGTCAAGAACATCGATATCATAGTGTTTTTGCTTGTCCAATTCTTCGACAACAAACAACCGATCAAAATCCTCCGATGAAACTTGTTTGTGGACATGTCATATCAAAAGATGCACTTAATAAATTATCCATGCAAAATAAACTAAAATGTCCTTATTGTCCATTAGGTAGAAATGTTCATTTTTGAAAAAGAAAACGATGTACGATTTTATTTTCTATTTAGAACAAAGTCCATCGGATGCTCGACAATTATTTTTTTGACAAAAGAAAAAGATAATAAACCGGTTTTATTGTTAATAATAATTTATTTTATTTTTATTGTTTGTTCTCATAATGAAGATCAGTCGTTTTTCTTCTCTCTATCTCATTTGTTTTTTGGGATATGTACGATTTTAATAATACAATTCTAGATTAGAAATCATGTATAGAAAATATTTTGATCCATTGGATTATAATCTATCGGCTGATTTTCGTTTAACGAAATTATCCGATCTTAAAGGTCGAGGATGTAAAGTTCCTCGAGAAGTACTCCATCGGTTGCTCGAAGGACTTCAAACAGCCGATAAAAACGGCTATGGCGATGGACAACATCACCAAGGAATCTTACCCGAATCCAAACCAACACCGGTGGTGGGTATGTATTGCAGATATTGAATATTAATGAAAACTTTTTCTGCGTAAATATTATAGGCATTGGTCTCGATTCATGTGTTATACCAATACGTCATGGAGGACTTTTTCTAGTACAATCTACTGCTTTTTTCTATCCCCTAGTCGATGATCCATTTGTAATGGTGGGTACAAAAAATTCAATAGGAGAAGAAATGATTCTATTTGTCAAAATACTTTAGGGTAAAATTGCGTGTGCTAATGTATTAAGCGATGTTTATGCAATGGGAGCTGTTGAAGTTGATAATATGTTAATGTTATTAAGTACAAGTAATAAAATGACTGACAAAGAACGTGATGCAATTATGCCGTTGATTCTTCAAGGATTTAAAGTAGAAATAAATTCGTTTGAATATTGAAAAAAACTCCAAAGGGTGAATTTTATTTAATAGGAATGCGCTGAAGAAGCAGGCACAAGTGTACAAGGTGGCCAAACGGTTATTAATCCTTGGTTAATTGTTGGTGGCGTTGCCACTGCTGTATGCACACAGAATGAAATAATCATTCCAGAGAATGCAATTGTTGGCGATGTATTAGTATTAACTAAACCGTTAGGCACACAGGTTTGCTAATTTAGATTAAATTCGAATTTGAAACAAAACACGTTTCTTTTCTTTAATTCAAGGTTGCTGTAAATGCTCATCAATGGCTTGAAAATCCTGATCGATGGAATCGTATTAAATCAGTCATAAGCGAAGACGACGTTCGCAAAGCATATCAACGTGCAATGAACTCAATGGCTAGATTAAATAAAATTGGTATGTGCATGTCATCACTTGATTTTCTGAAAAACAAAAAGCAGATCTCAAAACTTTAACCAATCAGATGTCTATTCTGTAGTTTCTATGGAACATGACGTACACACCCACGATATCAATCTGATATAGAATTAATATGAGACATGACTAGATTTAAAATACTTATTTTTTGTCTTTCCTTGTATACTGATTCATATCGATTGTGATCAACAGTAGGTGGTATTGCAACATGTTATCATGAACTCCTACTGTGACTGTACCGATGGGTGTTTCTATTTGTAAATATGCTGACTAAACTGACTTAGCTCACAGCCTAAAAGGAACGAGCATCTTCTAGTGACACACTGTGAAATCACGCTATTTTCTGAAAATGAATAAATATATCTTTCTGTTTTTCTTTAAGGCGCATTACTCATGCATAAATATAATGCACATGCCTGTACAGATGTAACTGGTTTCGGTTTACTTGGTCATGCTCAAAATTTAGCTAAACATCAAAAACATGATGTTTCATTTGTCATCCATAATTTGCCGATAATCGCTAAAATGGCAACCATAAGCAAAGCTTGTGGCAATGCATTTGGTTTATTGCAAGGTACAAGTGCTGAAACATCGGGGGGTTTACTTGTCGTATTACCACGTGAACAAGCAGCAGCCTATTGTAAAGATATTCAAGCACAAGAAGGTTATCAAGCATGGATTATTGGTGTGGTAGAAAAAGGTGGTCGAACAGCAAAGATAATCGATAAACCAAGAATTATTGAAGTACCAGCAAAAGATACCGAAGGCGAACTTTGGTAGATTGAATACAAAGAAAATGTTTTGTACCATAATTTATTTTGTTGTTATTACTAATCTGATTGTTCCTATCAAATCTGTAATGATTAGCATAAATTGATACATTTTTCTTTGTTTGTGTTTTGTTTAATATTGTCAAGAAAAACAAAAATCTTTCAAAAAGATAAAAAATAGATTATGTTGTAAAATTGTATCAAAAATCTTCATAATAATTTACTCATCTACACAAATTTCCGTTTACGATTCGTATTTATTACGTAATCTGATTTAAGAGCAATGCTGTGTGAGTGCTAATTATCAATACAGCAAAGCTATAAAAACAAATATTCATTAGCTATAGCATCTGCAAATAAAAAAAATCTTAATATTATTCTTCTGATTCATTATCTTAGAAATGATTCTTTAATGGGTTCGGCCATTCGACTTAATTAAAAAAAAATTCAAACAATCTGAATGATTTCTAACCGTTGTATATGAAAATTCAGCGAATCTAATTGAGTGTGAACGTGTGTGTATTACAGAAGAGAATGAAATATTGATCTCATTGAAATTTTCTTAGTTGAATGATGAATAAAAATAACATGATCGATATAGATTCTTCCCTCTTTAATTAAAATAATATTCCTTTTTTTATTTCATAATAAAATCTCACATGAAAATGTACAAAACAAAAAACAATTTAGTTCTTTTTTTTTTCATTCTAACTGAATTTTGTATCAAATACAACAATATGTTTAGGTACGTAACCTTGTTGTCCATCGCCGCGTTTGACTAATCGCCAATCGCCCATGGACTCTGTTGGATTAATTAGTGTTACAACTTCGGATTCAAGTACACTAATATCACCAACAAACTGTCTTTGATAATTTTCTACCACACGTAATCGATGATTTTTCGTTCGAACAATCACTGGTTCATTGTCTAAAACACTCAATGATAGATTTTTTCTTGGAGTCAAATTCAATGTTCCATAAGCATCTTGATCATATGCATGAAGTGAAACATTCGAAATTTGTCGTGATAAAACGGATTCATCTTTTATTTGTTGACGAGTAAATGTCGCCGTCTTAGTCAAACGTGATCCTGTTGATATTAGTGGTTCATTATTGACATTACATGGTCCAATAGATGAAATAAAACGGCCAGTTTGTGGTGTTGACATATTATATGATCGATTATTTATAACCGATAGACGTGAGTGACGCGGTTTCTCATAGATACTTACATTAAGTAAACTAATATTGTTTTGAGAAGGTGATTCAAATAAAACATTAGACGGATCCGATAGACGAATGCAATACATCGGTACGACGCCAGTTTCGCCCGTGTCCGGTATCTCAATAAAAACCCAATTGGATATTGCATAAAGCGCTTTAACATGTGTACCTAAATAGAAAATTTGTGTTGATTGTCAAAAAAAATTCTAGACAGCAGAATAATTTGATCTCGGAACGAATATGACTTTCATCAAACTGAAAAACAATGTTAATTTTATTTTTGTGGAATAACCAAAGAACGTACATGTCAAATATCTATTTATGTTACACGCCCAGCTTCCTATTTGTTTTCAATTAGATAGTCAAGTATAGCTTGAACGAAAAGAATCAACAAAACACATCTATCTGTTATTATCGGCTTAATGGGTGTACCTGTGCACGTCAAGATTAACAACACACATATTGATTTAAAATCAATGCGTAAAAAACAAGCAACTCGTCAAATCGATCGAGACAAAACGTTACGGTGTAAGAAAAGGCAATTAAACGGCAGTTTAAATTGGATAGAGTCGATCGTCTCGCTATGTTTTCTTCTTTCAATCGAACAATCGATAGAATTGTTCAAGCAGAACAAAGTGGCTATATAATACCTTTCGTAACAGCAATTGTATTCTTATTAAATTGTGTCGATTTAGCATGTAACGGTTTATACGATTGCGAAATAATCATAGACAGATTGGCAGGTGATGTGGGTGTAGCGCGAGACAGATGTTCGTAGCTACTCATATTGTCCAACGGTCGTTCATGATTCTCAACCGTTATACATTCCATATTTGGTTGCACTTGAGATGATGAATGACATGAATTTTTATTTAGTCGCTGCTTTGAACGCTATTTTAATGGACCAAGATAAAATAAATGATAAGACGAGAAAAAAAACATACCAGTATATTAAACTTCGTTGATTTCTTATTCGTTAATGATAACGCATCGGTTTTAGTTGTTGCGAATTCATAACATCCATCTTTGTTAATCCGCTTACATGCACTTGTGAGTTCTAAAGTTAGAAAAAAAAGGAAGATCAAGCAAACAAGTTCGTTTAAGATATAATTCATCTTCAATATTTTTATTCTCATATCTTGATAATATATATATATATAGTCTATTTATAATAGAGATTAACTATATGCCATTCGAAGTATTGTTCAAAAGGATGGATTAGAGATTAGAAAAACATTTCTACTCACTTAAAATATTACACGAGTCCCACATGACTATGAATGAATAATAAGTGGAAGAAAGCTTTTATACTCAATAGGAAACATAATTATGCCTCCAGGTATAGTTGAAGAACATTCACTTTTCATTTTTATTTTCTATAGAAATTTGTTTACCTTTAATATGTTTACGAAATTGAAGGACGCGTAGGAGTTTTGTAAATGTTCTTGATTGATCCATGTTTTAAGCAACTATATTGGTGTCAAAAATAATCATTCTAATCAGTAGTGTCTGAAAACGAAGAGAAACGAAAAATAAATGACCACATCTACTTGTATTGCTTTCGTGCGCTCCCCTCTCTTTCTCTCTTCTTTTCGTTTGAACCAATGACGAAAAGACGACGACAGAGAGAGCGAAAGAACAATAAAATGACCTTCAATAAAGTTCACTCTGTAATAATCGAAGAAGCAATATTTGTCTTAGCATGTTACTCAAATGTGCTAATGAGATGTAGGTTTTTCTTTGCCCTAATGATGAATATCTTTCGTTGTCATCACATGTGCAACAGCCAAGCATATGGTTTCCCCTCTTTCTCGATTGATTGATTGATCCCACTGGAAATATGATTTTTATCACAAAAAAAGGGACTTTTTTTGTTGTTTTTTTTTATTCAAAAGATTTATTTTGCACAGGAGCATCAACAATTTCAGTTGAATCAAGTTTTTCTTCGTGCTCGAAAATTTTTTCGTTAGTGCTATAAGATCGACGACATTTTTTCCATATACGGTCTGAATTTTGATTTTTATCGATGAATGAATTATAGGAACTTGATCTTGATTTTAAAATGGGTCGATTCGATTCAGATGTATGTAAAGGTAATTTTCTAGTTGTAGGCATAGGCTCCGATGGTGTTTCATCGATTGATAATTTGAATATTCGGGTACCAGTTACGGATATACTTGAGTGTCGTTTTCGGCCAAAGGTAATTAGTACACTTCGTATTGTACTAGTCGTTGGAGTACTTGGACACTGAAAACAAAACAAAAAAGGTCAATACTATTCTTAGAATAATGAAAAGTTTTGTACATCCTATTTCTTTCTGCTCATTCGTATGATTTGTATATTTTATTTATGCAAATAGCAAAGAGAACAACAAAGACATTCATTTATCTCAAAATAGTCTTTTGCATAAATTATCTTTCAAAATAAATCATAGAGAATCGTGACAAAAAAGATGTATTCTAATGGCAGATGTGAGGCATTAATCTAAGCAGTAATTATATATCAGAAATGTTTCTTCTCACGAATGTATGGCCGGTAAAAAGGCATGGGGAAAGCAATCGGTAAGAAATCCGATTGATTATCAAGCAGAAAAGAAGATCACAAGTGATAGATATAGTCCGTTACACATCTATGATAGAGAAAGAAAACCGATGATGCATGACTAATAAAAATAATTTAAAAAAACTTAAACATATGGATACATAATTATGCAGATAATGCGGTAACTTTTATGGTCTCCTATGAAGAAATAAGACTCGATTGTAAATCGAACTTACCCATAATTTAGTCGTATTCCCAGTACACATTCATATATACATGAAGATCAGTGTAGCTGACAGAAGGTATAGATTCATCATGATAAAAATTTTTGAAAATCAAGAAAAAATCATTTTCTTTATTAATGAATCGATACCGCCAGTCTCACTTTACTTCAGTTCGTAAGTAGAAAAATCATTTTATATTCATACCGTTTCGACTGTACTTTGAGAAAAACGATTAAGCTGAAATCGATTACTGTTTTTTGATCGTTTATATTTGGATGGTAAACAAGAAAACCATGACTGTGCTTCATCATTCGTTATTTGTGATTGTTTTCGAATAATTTGATGAAGATATCTCGGATTTATATCAATACTACAACCTGATACGCGCGTTTGCAAATGATTTCCAGATAAAGAATTATACGATTGATTCAACCATGAGTTATTATCAAATGAATTGAAATATGTCCGCTGATCAACTTTTCTTTTGAATGTTGTTTTTGGGTCGATAAAATATGCACAATATTTATTAAGGCATTTAAAATTTTCACGACATATTGAACGAAATCGGGAGGAAAAGAAGCAATATAATAGAAAATTGATCGACGCATTGATAGCAACACAACAGTTTGCAAAATTATTATAAATAAGAACTTTTGGTGTCTGAGCAAACACAGGAAAAAATGATTGAACTGTTAAAGATATTGCTTGCGGGATTTGACAAACAGTAAAAACAATGACAACAGCGACTAAAAAAAGAAGGAAAATTTCGAATTATTTTTCTCTCAAATTTTAAACCCGAATGTGAGTGTGTCTATTGTTCACTTTCGATAATCCAATCAAAATATCATAAATCTTATTTACAAGGTAGAAGGTTCGAAATAGGTCATCTTCTATTGAGATGCATGTAAGTATTATAAATATATCTTAGATTTTACTCATTGTTCTTATTAGTATTGATTGAAAGATTAATCAAAGATAAGCGTAGTGTAGATCATCTATTTGTTGAACTTACTTAACATAATTGTTATTTTTCTTTGTTCAGTATGATTTGTTCGACTATGTCGACGTAATTGATCTCCATCACAATTTTGCCGGTCATGTTGTTTTGAACGACGGACAGAAACAATCAAAATTGTATTAAATATTAAAAGCAGTAGCAGCGGAATCCAAATAATAGCAAATCTATTGATAAAATCATTTTGTGAGAGAGTGTTGATTAGAATAAAAGAAAACTTAGTTTCTGAAATTATTTTTTTGCCTCTAGTAATGTATTGAGGATCTGCGAAAAAGAAACTCTCTATTAGATATATACGAAAATAGTGACGACGTGGGACTTCTCCATACTCCACATGATTGATTTCAAGTGTATGAATTCAGCCCAGAACCTGACACAAAGGGGAAATTCGAGTTCCAATCATTTTCTAGATCGAATATTTTTCTCCCGAACATAATTTCGACTTTTAAAAACATATCGATTGATTTTTATTAGAATCTTAATTAACTAGCTTGACTACGAGAGTCAGGCACTAAGGACAAATCTTGAGATACGCTGTATAAGAAACTATAATGTCGTTTGAATCTCTGTAGTAGTTTGCGAACTCTACAACAAACATACGGTATATTCGATCTCAATTTGATTTTGTAGATCTGGATACGCATTAAATTCTCTGTCTCTCTCTCTCGTTGAAATTGAGATACATACGTAACAAAATTAAAATAGATTTGATGATACAGTAAACTACTTCCTAATACAGTTGGTTCCGCTTTAATATAACTTGTACAAATACTTGTATTTGACACGTTTTTTCTTTCGACTATTCGCACAAGTTTGACTTCAAATGCCGATGGTAAGGTACATATCAGTGATGCTAATAGAACACCGCAGATTATTCTTCGTGCTAGATTTATTGTACACCATCTACGACTTTGTAATGGATATGTTATGGCAACCCAACGTTCAACTGTAAATGTAACAGTTAACCATACGCTTGCATTCGATGAAAAATCAGCAATCGGCCGGCATATGGTTAGAAATATTTCAGATAATGACGTATCTGTAAAACACGGATTTTGTAAAGTATTTATAATCAGTGTTAATATTAAATAAGCAGTATCAACAAGTGCTAATGCTACTAAATAATTATTTGTTGATGATTGTATCATACGACGTTTTGTTAATACGGTAACTGCCAGAATATTACCGGTTATACCTATTGAACAGAAATAAAAAATTGCCAATTGGAATCTTAATCGTATTTCAACGTACTCGAAGATTAAAACAGTATCAAAAAAACAATAAAAAAGCATTTTTTTATGATTTTTACGATTGTCTAATACAATATTTTATATATCCAACTTGAATTCAACAGAAATCGTTTTTTTGTCATTCTATAAGTAATCTAGATTGCAATAACAAAATTAGCGCGAAGCATTTCTTAGTGCCGCTGCGTATTTTTCAAGATTTATGATCTTGAACAAATCATTTCTATCAGATTCAATGAGTCAAATATAGAGAAAAATTAAATTTTAACCTAAACTAGTGTCATTTCATTTTTTTTTATCACAGATCTTTCATTCAGTTCAACCAATTATAATCGAACAGGTCATAATCTTTAAGGAAAAATATATTGACAAGTCTACTCATGCGACCTATAGGCAAACTATTCATTACCGAAAAATGTTATAATCGGCCAAAGCCAATTTCTCATTAATGTTCGCACAAAATATAGATTCGGGTCGGTATTTTGCCGAGCTAAAATGGATGCATTACAATGGACTAATCCGAACATTGTTTAATATTGATTTATCATAGGAAACGAATCAAAAATAATGGTAAGACATCATTGTAATGTTTCATTGATTTCTGATGTTTTATTTTGTTTTATCACATAAACCGTCAAATTTGTAATATTCTTCCACTATCTAGAAAACAAATCGTAATAACATAACTGTCTGTTCTTCGACAAAAATAAGAAATAAAAGTTTCTTAGAAAAGAAACAGATGTGCATTATTATAGAAATATAGTTCTATATACGATATGAACTCCCCTTTCATTAATAAAACATCAACTACAATACTCTATACCAGATAGGCGAAAGTTGTTTTTCAAGACTTTGCTTATGGTCTATTTTTAGTTTGTTTATAGCAACAAAGATTAATGATTAAATAATCTATCAGCAATTTTAATTTGAAAATAGCCCATATCATACTCCTATATGGATCCACTCGATACGATAGCTAAAATATTTAGCCAGTTGCTCCAGTTTTCTTTTATATCGTCTGCTTCGAAAGATTCGACGTAATTTTCGACTTGTTGATGAATATTTTAGACTTCTACCGTATTTCTAATCATTAAATAATATCGAGCAACATAATCGTATTTTCTTCAGATACTGCAAAACATAGGGTTCTATTGTTGATAAATTCACAAGTGTTCAAGATACTAATCGATTTCAATATATTTTATTTACGAAAAAAAGAATCTCTTGAGAAAAGCACAACTAACAATCTATATTCGTTTTACATGAAAAAAAGTTTAATATATTTGCCAAAATGAATTAATTTACCTGTTGAAAATTTAACTAAAAAAATAAATCGTTAACTAGACTCAACGACCAAATCTTGAGAGTACTTGGAATGTTCATAGAACAATTCATAATCGAAAATAAGCGACAGTTTGTTTTCTGCTTACGATAGACAATTATGATTTATTGTGAAAATAGTGTTATCCATCATACTTATGTTTGCTTTTTCTTACTTTTCAATGAGAACAATCAATATGATAAAGCATTTTTGTATTGTCACTATCGCCACATTTCCTTACTCTAAGTTATAACCATAGCATACGCATATTTATCTATATCCAGAGGCAATCTAGGATAGACATCTAGATTTATTGCAAAACAGACACAAAGTTTGACTTCAACAAAAACATAGGAGCAATGGTAATGTAAAAGATTCTTTTTTCAGAAAGATAGCTAATTGACATTCAAAAACACTCTATAGCTCACTTCCTCTAATTTGATTGCTTCTTCTTCTTCAGCATCTAGTGAATCGGTCTATATAGTAGCATTAAATCATAATAGGCATACGAAGTCAAATGAATATTTCCTACGCACTTTTTCATTAAGCGTACATACAATAAATGTCTTATTGTCTTATGATCAGTGTTCTTACGTGAACATTGAATAGAAACTGTTCTTTTCGTTTTTTTTATAAATCTCTAATAAGGAAATGGCACACATGTTGATGACATTAGCCAAGAAAATAAACCTATAAATAGTTTCGCTTCTCTGAGGGGTAGTCTTTATTTTTGTACCCTTGTGTGTGTCATTATTTTTGTATTCTTGCGTGTGCCATTATTGCATTTTAACATGAATAACCTATTTATTTTCTCTCTCTCTCTCTAGCTTAGGGCATCGTATTCTCTGCTTCATCAAACAACTGCTAACAATGTGTTTATATTTAAATATGCATTTCTTACATGTTTTGCAGATTTCGGCATGCTTTAACCATTTGACGCGATTTGTAATTTATATGATAGCATGTAATATTAGCCTAATACATCGATTTCTACCGAATCACATTTTCAGACTACAAGAGTAATTGATTTTCTAGACAGTATACAAAAAAGCCAATTAGTGTAGATAAACAGATTTATCTTTTTAAAATAGCAATTATTATGTTTTCAACCGAATACATGTTACCTAGAGATTTATTTATGATTTTAAAAGAAAAATTGTCTAGAATCATATATATTTATAAGGAAATACTATTATTCATTTAAATCTTTTATCTATTTTTAACAAACCTTGAAAAATCTGTAAATGGTTCATGTTCAAAGTTTTATATCCAATCTAATCATTTACTTTCATAGATTTTAACTTTATGTATTCAAAAGCCGTCTAACATTTCTAATGAAATATTTTATGATGCATGCCGTACCATAGTTCTATAAATAGCTATGTGTTTTGCTTGAAATCTCACTAATAGCTATTGAGTCGCACGTGTTGCAATAGGCAACACATTGTGTAAAACATAAAATTGCAACAGGAGGTGTGCATCGCGACATATTTCTTCAAGTGAACAAGTGACACGTTCTCAGTGTATGATTCATACTTATTCCCAGCTGTTGTTGCCAGTCAAACAAATAAATGCTAATAAAACAGTTTAATTCAACTCAGTGATCCGGTGACTGGACAATTCGTCGCGAGACAATTCGTTGCGGACAATTCGTCGCAGACAATTCGTCGCATAGACGATTCGTCGCAAGGACAATTCGTCGCAATGTTAATTAATGAAAGAGAATATGAAATATCGCTCGACATAATTAAATCAAGTCGAATGCGTTGAACTTAATGAGTAAACCCACTATATTTTGAAAGATATTATCAATCTCGTGGAAAAACTAATAGCTTGATGGGAAACTGAAAAAAAATCATTAAAAACATTTTCATTTATCCTCCAATAAAAATAAAATGCTATATTTTATCACAATTATTCTTTTCTCTCTTTGCTCTCTCTCTAGATTAAATTATGTTTACTGTTTATGCGACGAATTGTCCGCGACGAATTGTCTCGCGACGAATTGTCCTGGTGCCCAGTGATCCCTATTTCTAATGCATACAAATCACATATGTCATGACAAGAAAATCAAAGGAAAAAACTTGGATTCACTACATTTTTGTATGCAACTGTGGACCTAAAAGATGAATGCTACATATATAGATTGCGCAATACCTATCGATTGCGGAGACTCAAATACTAATGGATAGTGTAAATGTTTCAGTTTTTCTTTGTAAGTAGAGGTTATATCTATATGAAATTTATATATATATAGAGCTAGTTGATTGAAATACACCCTTGCATAAGTTGGGATTACAGTTGTCATCGGATAAGAACTAGTGTAAATGATGCCAAAATGAAGCGGGAACAAACTGATTTCCAGGCATAGAAATCAACATACATTGAAGATGTGAATAACGACTCAGTTGTTAGAAATTACAAGAAACAAATGTAAATGAATGTAACTCACAGAAATTCTCGAACTATATGGTGAAAGAAAATATGGATTTCTATTGATTACTGATGATCTTTACTGATTTCCTTTTTTTTCAGAATGTGCAATGATTCCAGTGACCACTGTTAATTTCTATTGAGTTCTCATAATTTTTCAACATTTCTGAACGTTTCCAATGATTTCTGCTGGTTTACAAGGATCATATAAAAACTGAATTCCAGTCATAGAAATCACTGGAAATCATAAGAAATCAAAGAAATCAGTTTGTTTCCCGTTGGTCAAAATGATAAACACTTAATCAATCATGAATAAGCAGCTTATATATCTTTGTATTGCAAATAAAAATGCACTCTTCAAATATTTGAATCAGCGTATTTCAATTGAGGAGAAAACGATGCTAATCAAATTCGCAGGGTTTATATTGATAAAAGTCTCTACTACATAACACTGTATTTCAAGACATTCATTCATTCATTGTGCGACATCCTAATGTAACGATATTTGTGTAGTGCATTGCATGCATATGTTTAACTTTCTCATTACTACTAATCTGATGTATTGTCCTTTTTCTTTTCGTCCTTACTTCATACTTTGCACTTTATATTGTATGATGCCCTTAAAATACCATGTAAGAATAGTATAAAAGCGTATGCTTTGCCTGTAATCGATGCGATTGATGATAGGAAGAGTCGAATAAAGCTAAACAAACATCATCACGCTTCTCTCTTTCATCAAAAGTCGTTACACCTAAGCAGTGGCCTAGGCAAGGGGGGGGGGGGGGGGNTCGATTTAGGTGAGTATTTAAAAGGACTAGCTGTAAATATGCCATTGTAAATATTTTCTGTAATTCTGTATTTTTCAGATGATGACATTTGTCCAATGCCAAAAGCTCTGACACGAGTGCATTTTTGAAGATCACACTGACGTTTTATTAATAATTAGCTGCTTATCGCCATTTAATCAATTCATTTAAAAGGATCGATTGAGATTTGTTTCATTAAAGTAATAAACATAATGATTACATTGCTGTTATATTTTTCGGTCACGACTCCTTGTTCTACTCAGCATCGTTGATGTAAAATGCTGGTGGATTCTCATGTATTTTCCTGAATATATATGATTATTTAGAATGTAAATAACGGCACTAGGACAATTCGTCGCATATACAGTAAACATAATTTAATCTAGAGAGAGAGCAAAGAGAGAAAAGAATAATTGTGATAAAATATAGCATTTTATTTTT